TTCATTATATGTGAATATCCAATTTGTGCCAAAACAATTTAAGCCATCATTTCAAAATAATTTTGTGGATGCTTATCAGGACAGCAAACATTACCTCTAAAGAATAATTACCTGTGAAAATGTTACAAACTTTCCTTCTGGGGCAAACGGTTGCTAACAAAGATGCTGCTTCCCAAAACACACACATGCAGCGCCTGCATGTGCACACACACACTGGCTGCTAGGACAGTGGTGATGGTAGTCTTGATGATGGGTTTTTCTTTGCTTCACACCCTTTCTCAACTCTACTCATTTAAGCCCTAAACATTATAAATGCTCTGGGTTTTCATAATATTGTTTTTTGTTCTTCTCCATCCTGTTGCATTCCTTTAAATATGTCCCAATTTACCTCCTTCATGTTGAAGTGTAGTTCTTGGAACTACGCACATAATTCCAGGTGTTTTTGACCAGTCAAGCAGGGTGAAAGAAGCTACCATGGTCATGTTCCTTGCTCTGAAGATTCCATTTTTATTAATGCTGATTAAGATTATAAAGCTGTAGGGGCAGCTGTATGCCAGTGTTGAGTAGTTCATTTATTCAGTGGACAGATATTTTTTGAGGCTTTACCATGTGCCAAGCACTGAACAGTGAGCTGATGATGTAACGAATAAGATACAGTCTTTTTCCTTGAGTGATAAAGAAGAAACATATACTAATTAATATATGCAAATATAAACTTAGAAATTTTATAAATGTTACAAAGAACAGTTCTGGGAAACATGAGAATGTATATCGGGGTAGGTAAAATAATGCCCCCCCAAATTGTCCATATCCTAATCCCCAAAGCGTAGGACTCTGCAACCTTACGTGGCAAAAGGGACTTCGCCGGTATGATTAAGTTAAGGATCTTGAGATGGGGAGAGTATCCTGAAATATCCAGGTGGGCTCAATGTAATCACAAGGGTCCTTAAAAGAGGAAGGCAGAAGGGTCAGAGCTAGAGAAGGAGATTGGTGGAAAGGTGAAGGACAAGAAAAAACAGATATTAGAGGATGTCGCTTTGCTGGCCTTCAAGATGGAGGAAGAGGTCATGAACCACGGAATGCAGGCAGCCTTTAGAAGCTGGAAAAGACAAGAACTGTATTCTCCCATAGAGCCTTCAGAAGCAGTACAGCCATGCAAACACATTGGTTTTGGGACTTCTGACCTCCAGTACTGTAAGATACTAAATTTGTGTTGTTTTAAGCCACTAAATTTGTGGTAATCTGTTACAGCAATGGGAAACCAGTACATATAACAAAGGACCTGATCCAATCTGAGGCAGGTCCTAGAAGGCTCTTCTGAGAGATGAAAGATGAGTCTGGCGAAAGGAGATAGTATTCCAGACTAAGGGACTAGTCAATGAGGTTGGGCAGGAGGATAGCTGGTAAGTACAGTCAATTCAGAGCTCAGTGGGGTGATGAAAGGGGAGAGTGGTTTTAGATGCTGTGGACAGGGAAGCAGAAGTTGAGTCATTTTTGTAAGCCATTTTTTGAAATGGAGGTAAGTCTCTATCTTAAAGTATTTTGTGAAGTTTAAATGAAATGATCCATGTAAGTGCCTGGTACATAATAATCAAAGAATGTTAGCTGATATTATTGTTAAAGTTTGTTACAATGTTCAGGATTTGACTTAGAACATGGTATGCAAGATAAACTGATGGTCAGAGATAGATATAACAAATTTACAGAAAAGTGCATAAATGAATAAAGACAGATTAACAAAGAGTTCTACAGTGAACATCTAGATAACCACAACCCACACCCCTGTCCTCATGGAGCTTACAGCTTAGAGGGGGAGACAAACATTAATCAAATAATCATACAAATACAAAACTGAGTCTGAGACAAATGCTTTGAAGGAGATACAAAGTGAATGTAATGATGAACGTGCGAGTAAGTGAGAACAAAAAAAAGTTTCCTAAGGAAGAGACACTTGAGGTGACAGCTAAAGGAAAAGCAGAAACGAACTAGATCAAATGGGTGAGGGAAGAGCATTCTAGGTAGAAGGAACAGCACCTGGAAAGGGCCTAAGGCTATGGTGAGCTCGAAGAGGCCTTTGAGAGATAATGAGTGAGAAAAACCTAAGTTGGGCCAAGATTTGAAAGACTTTAAATGCGAAGCAGAGACAATCCTCCACAGACTATGTGAGCTCCTTGAGATCTGGGACCACGTCTCATTCAATTCTGTATTAAACCTAGAATAGTATCTGACATGTAATAGATGCTCAAAACACTTGTTGAATTGACTTGAGTGCAGACTTTATCTTGTAGCTAACAGAAGCCACCGCAGACTTTTTAGTCAGGTAGATTAGAATGCTGCCTGGTTAGTGCTAGTAAGAAAAGCATGCGGCAAGTGCTACTAGAGCAGACACCTGATGTCCCGTAGGACTGAATTTTGTCTGTGCGTTCAGAAGCCCTTCCCAGATGAAAGAGTAACAGAATGGCATTCTGAAGCTGGAGTAAGAGAAACGTGTTTCCTCAACTGATCTGACCCTAGGAATGGATGTGAGGGCACTTGTTAAAAATAGCGCTTCCCAGGACCCACCCCAGACCCTCTAAATCAGACCCAAAGAGGGGTAGTGGCAGCCCTATCTATTAACAAGCCCTCCACCTGATTCTTATTCCCAAGAAAGTCTGGGCAACCCTGGGACAGAGACCATTCAACGGAAAAGGAAAGCCATGTGCCAAATTCTGAACATATGAAAGAGCCAGAAGGCCTATTCAGGAAATGGCTGGAAAGCAAGGGGCCTAGGGGGAGTGGTTATGGTCCAGGCTGGGGATGGTGAAAGCTTTACCCATAAGGCTTTTCCTGACAACGCTCAAGACGCTTGTGAACAATGGAGAACCAATGCAAGATCACAGGCAAGGAAGTGAGCTTTTTGGGAAGAACAAATCAGGGAAACTGAAGAGTACAGGTTTGAGAGACATCTGTGAGGCAGAGTAGCTAGCATTTGACAGCTTCTTCCAGGACAGACGTAGGAAAGGAGAGGTGGAGAAGGAATGCGAGGTTCCCAACGCGGTCGACTGCCTTTCCCAGGGAGGGAGGATGTGGTGAGAAACCCTTTCATGTTGGATTCAAGTTTTACACATGACACCACGTGAATGTGTCTAAAGACAGATGGAAATAGTTCTCAGGGCTGAGATGAATACGGGAGTCAGTGGAAACATGGGAATTTCACTTGTACGAGGATGTCAGGACCAAGGACAAAATTATGGGGAAACAGGCATAATTAAGTGGCACCTAGAGGAGAAATCAGCAAAGGAGACTAAACAGAGACAGAGGAGCTGGTGACTACAATTTTGACAACTGTGATGTCTAAGACCTATACCCCCAGGCTAAGTGAACTGAAAAAAATGAAACTATTTCCATGATTGGACTGATGAAACATATATCCGCCATCTACCTAAAACAAACACCGAGTAAAATTCTAGAATACGTGCTCTTGCCTGACCCAATCGGCTAAAATAAACATACACAATCAGCAAGCCACTGATTCTTAGATTCAAGAACACTAGAAGGAGTCCACACGTGGATTTTAGTCTTGGTTCTTCCACTTATTTGGGCAAATCATTAAACTTCTGGGAACCTATTTCCTCATCTTAAACAAAAAAAAGCTAAGGAGCTGGGGTCGCTGGATGGCGTCTCAGGTTGCTCCCAGCTCTGAAGTCTGGTTTCTCCAGGGACCCCAGGGGGTCTCGGAGGGAGCGCTGGTGGGGTGGGGGGGAGAGCAATCCTGCGTGAATGACACCCTCCCCCCCTGCGCCATGAAGACTGACTCGGGCACCCAGAGTTGGACACGAGGCGTTGCTTTCCCGCCCGTCACCAGGACAGATTTGTCGTCCACCCACCGAGTCGTGTGTGTCGCGTCAACGGCGTGGCCTCCATCAGTCCCCACCCGGAAGGCCCTCGGTGCTCAGCACCCGGGGGACGCCCCCCGCACGCGGACCCCCGCCACAGCCCAGGCACCCAGCAGGCTCCGACCCCACCCCCCCCCGACTGCCCGGGGACCCCTCAGGCTTTTTCCCCCTCTCCCCCGCCGCCGCACACGGACCCCCCACCGCCCCGGGACCCCCGCAGGCTTCCTCCCGCCCCCAGCACGTGGCCCCCCACCTCCCGGGGACCCTACACGCTTTCCTCAGGTCTGTCACCTAAGAGAAAAATACACCCGGGACCCAGTTTCAAGAGGTGGAGACTTTTTTTCTACTGCCATTTAAGAAAAAACAATACAGGACCCGCCCAGTTGTTTGCGTTGCCCCCAGGGTTTGGCCAGTTCGGATCCTGGGCGCGGACATGGCACCACTCATGAGACCAGGCTCAGGCGGCGTCCCACATGCCACAACTAGAAGGACCCACCACTAAAAATATACAGCTATGTACTGGGGGGCTTTGGGGAGAAAAAGCAGGAAAAAAAAAGATTGGCAACAGTTGTTGGCTCAGGTGCCAATCTTTTTTTTTTTTTTAAAAAAAAGCAATACAAGAAAAAGGAAAAGAAACACTCCACTTTAAAAAGCCTGCTGACCCCGCTGCGAGGGGTGCCGACTCTAAAGACCATAATCGGGCCGCGCGGGGCGCAGGAAGCGGGCATCGACGGTCCCCCGCTCCTGCCCCCGACGCCGCGCGCGATAATTCAGAAAACATCAAAAGGCAGTTCTGACGCGGCCGCCTCGCCCCACGGGCGGCGCGGGGGAAACGGCAGAGCGCACGCTTCCAGAAGGCCAGCCGACGGCTTCCCGAAGGAGCCGGGCAGCGGCCTCCCGCCCGGGGACGACACTCCCCTGGACGCCTCACCCGGCGCCTGCGCGCAAACGCTCGGGATGCCGCGCCCTCACCGCAGCCTGGCCGCTTCCGGCCCGCGCCCCGCCCCCACTGCAGGCCCCGCCCCCGGGGCGCCGCGCTCCCAGCAGGCGCCGCGCGCGCGTGCGCCGTCGCCCCGCCCGTCGGCTCCGCCCCGCCCCTCGCGGCGCCGAGTGATGGCGGAGCTGGACGTCGGGCGGCACTGCCAGGTGCAGCATTGCCGGCAGCGAGGTGAGGGAGGAGGCCCGGGCCCCGCTCCGCCTCCACAGAGGGTGGGGGAGAGTGAGGGGAGGCCGCGGGAGTCCGAGAGGCGGGGCGGGCCTGCAGTGAGAGGCGTCGGGGCTCCAGTTGGAAGGGGCTTGCGGTCTCTTTGGAAGGAACCGTGCGGCCCCGGGAACCTGTGGCCGCGCTCGCTGAGGTCGGGCGTGGAGAGGCCCCGTGGCGCCGGGGGGCGGACGCTTGGGGCCCGGTTCCCCTCTGGTCCTGCCGCCGCCTTGGGGTGGTGTGTGGGGGTGTCACAGTTGATTAGTTCATCTTCCTTTCCAACTTCAGGTGTCTTTTTTCTTAAAGTGTAAATATCTGAACACAGGCCGGAGTCTAGATGTTTTGGACTAGTGGAGCGGGGTTAAGATTTAGAGTATTATGTTAGGGGAGAATCCTAAATTCCTTTGGCTTCTGGATGAATAAAAGGATGGTGTCAGGTGTCAGGAAATTATCCTAATTTTAAATCGTCCCCCTGGGTCCTCCTTGTTTGCATCTGATATTTAGTTGGTCACCAAAAGTCTCGAAATAGCAAGCATGTACAATTTTTCCAATTTGGAAGAGGCATAAAAGGTTTGCAGAGTATTGTGTGCTTCAGTTTCCTTCTCGTTGACCATATGTACATCCCTTCGTGGTATGACACGTGCTTAGAGCATCATGCCGTTGGAACAGGAGACAGTTCATTAAGCCCACTTCGCAGGTGCAGGAAGCACTCTTGTCCCACAAGCAGAATTATCCAGGGGTCCCTTTGGGTAATCATAAGACCTCTTCTTTCTGTTTCAGGTTAAGATACCCTGCAGGATGAGAAATTTGGGGAACAATTGTAGCTCTCTCGAAAGTGCAATGGCTTTTGTTTTCACTTAGAAAAAATGATGTGATCGGCTATATCCAGCCTCCCTTGTCTGTATACTGTAATTTCATATGAGGTACGCTGAAAGCCATTTAGAGAGTGACTCACTGTATCTGGCCATTAATGGTCAGTCGCCACATCTGAGAGTGGATACTCTCATGTACTTTCCAAAAATTCAGTTCTTAACTAAGTTGTTAATTACTTAGTCCCAACCTAGTCGTTCTCAACAGCAAGGAAAGAAGAAATTCAGGACTAAATTTTGCAATATCAGTCAATGGATCTATTGAATTTCTGGAATTTCTTTGAAAATATCTCCACCTAGCCACCACAGGATCTTTCTGAGTTCAGTATATTCAACACAAGTTAATTTTTGTAATTATTTTTTGTTATAGTTACTGTCTTACTATTCTTGTCTTTGACGTCTGTCTCATTTGGTTTTTACAGTTACCCTGTGAAGTAGATATAGCATATATATAGATAGGCCCACACATGTATATGCACAAACACATACATACAGACCTCTATATCTATTTATTTCTATATTACCTAGTAATAGAACTTTGCTTTTGTGTGCATATGTGGAAATATACACTACATACTATACTAAATACTATATGAAGTAAATACATAAATAGGTATATACTTATATATATATGTGTGTGTATATATAGTCTCCAAAGTTCTGCTATTAAGTAACTTGCCTAGCATTACTAGGGTAGTAAGCAGTGAAATCAGAATTGAAACCCAATTTTTCACTTCAAATGCAGGATTTTTGCAATATACGATCCTCAAAAATAACACCTAGTAAATCTGGAAAACAAACCCAATAAACAATTTTTTTTCTGACTTAGCATGTAGATTTTCCTCCTGATAATCTAATTCCTTTCTTTTGGAGGGCTTGAGGTTGTGAGGGCTTTTGTTTAAGCTCTGCTTGCTGCGCTAGGATATTGGTCCAAAAGGAAAATTCTCCTTTAGAGCTGCTTCAGTACCTTAAGATTCTTCTTGCTTAAGAAAATTGAATCAAAATCAGATACTGACCAGTACATATAACATTTTCCCTCAATTTTAGATTTTCTTCCATTTGTATGTGATGGTTGTTCAGGAATATTTTGGTAAGTTTTTATGCAAGATTTGGAAGTAATTTTAGTGTTTGTAGCATGAGGTTTATTTCTGAAAAGCAAAATGATTTAAAATAGTTCTTTAGCCTTTGATATTTATTATGATAATTACTTGGGGAAAAAAATCAAATAGACTAGTCTTAGGCTCTGATTACTTGTACGTATATGTGCTAATCTTTAAACTTCCAGAAATGGAGTTCTGTGTGTGACTGTCATGTAAAGGTTATATTTGTGTCTTTTAATTACAAGGAGAGAAGATATCCACAATACAAAGAACCAGTTATGATTATTAGTCTTATTTGAATTAATAAAATGAAAAGAGCCCAACCTGTACATTTCTGAAACTGGGTACCACGTGTCCTTTGCACACACATCACATGCAAAGTAAAACTGGAGAACTAACCAAGGAATTTGGAAAATGTATTTTCTTTGCAATTAAACTTTCATATATCAGCTATTTAATTTATTAAGTAGAGCCCTGAAAGAACAAATTCTTGTCGGAGGATAATTCAGAAAGATTTATTAGAAGTAAATAAAATTTATTAGAAGTAAAAATTCAGAACTGGAGCATTCCTTTGAAATGTTTTTACTGATGTTCTTTGAGAAATACAAGAAATCAGAGGATTCTGTGTATTTTTCTCACGTTAAAGCACTCAAAGGTGATTTAGAGTAGTGAATTGTTTTTACTTATATGGAAGTTGAACAGTTGTGTTTTAAAACTTTTGAGACTATAGATGCTCCATCTTTATCTGGCATTTCAGTTTTTTCTTACATGCAGAGTTCTTAATGAGTGTGATTGTGATTAATCTTAAGGATACTATTAAAATATCTCAAAGTACTGCATTTATCTGAAAGTAAATTATTTGATTGGATTTAAATAAGCACTTTTTTTTTAAATCATTTAAGCCTTGAACACAGAAGCAAGGAGTCACATAGCTGTCCTGAGGTATGTTAATAATTCTCCTCTCTAATAAAACATGTTTGTTTTTATGCACTTTCAGTCAGCATTTGATTAGGTTTCAGACCAATCAGTATGCCGCAAATTAAAATTTGGCGTCCTAAACTGATTATATAAAGAGGCTCTTACTTCATTTCTATTATTTTTCTTAGTTTGTTTTAAAGGAAAATTGGTCTACTTGGTATTTATAAATTTTCATTCTTATAATTCTTATTTTTTTACATTTCATTTCTGTTTAGGTACCCGCTTTACAGCTTTAGGATCTGTATTTATGAATCTACGATGGCTTTGACACCCTCATCATTTACTCCTTCCAGTGTTCTTTCACTCTTGTGTTCATTTTCACTGCTGCCTGATGTTAGGATTTTGTTGTATTAAATTGTTCTGACTCAGTCAGCCTTGGACTACCAGGAACAAACCTGTAGTCCAACAAAATCTCCACCCTAAATCTGACCAAATTGAAAGATTAAAAAAGACTAGCAGATAGAAACCACAATATCGTATTTATTCCTGAAAAAGGATAAATTGAATGATGGAGCTTAATGTAGAGCCAAATGGGTCTGCAAAGGAAATCCAAAATTAGGCAGACTGCCCAGCAGTCACGGCACTGCTGGACCAGGTTAGGCCTTCTCCTTGAGGGCAGTTCGGTTCTAAGAGGAAAGAAGAGAAAGCTGAGCCCGCCATGCCTAATGTAATTTTCTCAAATTTGACAATTAGATACGTTGCTCCACCTGCCTTGGGTGGGCGAGAGGCTGGAAGTTAAGCTGAATTGACTCCATCTGGAAAGAAGCATTTGCCTCACACTTTTCAGTTGATATTTGTTCCTGCCCACCATTTACCAAGCACTTTACTAGGGAGTTTTACATCTGTCCTCTCGATTATAGAAAGTTAGGTTAAAAGAGTTTCAGTCAAAATCTGGCCCTTTGAAGTTTAGGTAGTTTATTTGAGGAAAATAAAAATTAGCTAACATGTTGGTATTATGCAGATTAATTAGAAGGAAATGCTCATTTAGAGTCATAGTAAACATTCTGATGTTTCTTACACAGCTTGTAAATCTGCCCTGTACTTTCCTTTTTCTTAGGATGTAATTTGATTTCTAAGAATGTCTCTCATAGAGTTTCTCTCAATTAGATCTCATTATTTAAATAGTGAAATAAAAATTTTACTTTTAGAACATTGGAACAAATTTGGAAAAATAGTTAAGAAATTAATAAGATGTAACATTTATATAGGGGACTGCCCTTTGATTATAGATTTGAAGCAATTATTTCCCTAAATTTATTCAACTCTAAAAATCTAATTACTTAATACTCAAAATATCTTGGTTGGTTTGTTTTCTTTAATCTTATAAAATCTTGTCTTTCTCTGATGTAATATTTGCTGGTAATATATTAAATACAGCATAGAGGATAGTATATCATTATGAAAACTGCTTTAGCCCTCTGTATCAGGGATAAACATAATTTTTAAAGGTCCTCTTACATATATTTAACCACCTAAAATTGGTGTAGAAAGTAGGGATGACTTGCCATTTGAGGGTTGATAAGATGATTACCTCAGCATATTATTATGGAGCATCTTTGGGACTATTAGAAAATAGAAGACTAAAATTATAAAGAATAACTGAATAGTCATTTTGGCTTGACTTAGAAGATAAGTATACCACAGCAGGAAAACTGAAAATGTGGAGCAGTCAGCACAGCAGTCATTTCTCACACAGGCGTTTGTTATCATCTGTTACGCAAGAGTGAGTTGCTCTTATAAGTTCCGCAAAATGGAAAAATGATAGGAACATCTAAACTAGATTTGTTGATTTGCTTTAAATGTGAAATATAATGCCATTTCCCCTTGTTACATTTTCAGGTGACTGTAAGCAATGAGAGACTGAAGTCAGATAAGCATACCTCCTACCCATGCTCGTTCAAGGACTGTGCTGAAAGAGAGCTTGTGCCAGTCATATGTCCTTATTGTGAGAAGAATTTTTGCCTGAGGTGATTGCTCAGACCATTCAGAACTCTGCCTCTGTTTAAGGCATATGCAAATACATGAACTAGTGTCACTCTTGTGTTGCTTGTAGACACCGTCATCAGTCAGATCATGAATGTGAAAAACTGGAAATCCCTAAGCCTCGAATGGCTGCCACTCAGAAACTTGTTAAAGACATTATTGGCAAGTATCTGGAAACCTTGTTTTGTTATTCCTTACTGCTGTATACTCTTAGTTCCAGGGACCCTGTTTCTTGTGTCTTTGCCAGTTTGCCAGTTATGGAAGGTCTTATTAACAACCCTGATGGTTATAACTTGCTATAGATTTTTGACATTCTTGTGACATTATTTCTCACAAGGCCTACCTAATCAATGAAAATTTGGAAATGCTGTGGAAGTGCCCTAGCAGGTGTTCTCTTTTGCTGTTCTCTTTTATTAGCCCATTAACCATCATGGCTAGAAATGGTATTCATGCAGCTGAAGTAGTGGTTTGCCTTCTTTAAAGACTAAACTTGAAGCCTAGCCAGCTGTTCTGTGAATGCTGCTGATAATCTGAGATCTGAGGAAAGAATGCATCTGTGACTTAGACCAGTCTCCCTGCCAACATGTTAGGGCACTAGGATTTTCGTTCTAGGTTAAGGATAGTACTTTTATTAAAATCTTCTATAACCAAATCCAAAAATTCTCTGTAGATGTGTTAGTGATTGCTTTGGATTAAATAGGCTTAAGTTGGAAAGAAGCACATAACATTTGAGTTTTTTGATGTCTAGATCACTAAGATCAACTCAATGGTATTTTTCCATTGGTCATGTAAATATAATACCTAAAAAATGAATATGGTCTCTGTATATCTCTAATATGTGTAATTCATATATGTTTCAGGGCCATAATTAATAAATAATAATAATAAAACTCTGGAAAATGTAATGTAAAAGTTCTCATGTGCTTATATGCTTATACTTATTTCTTAGATTCCAAGACAGGAGAAACAGCAAGTAAACGACGGAAAGGTGCAAAAAACAGTGAAACAGCTGCAAAAGTAGCATTGATGAAATTAAAGATGCATGCTGACGGAGATAAATCATTGCCACAGGTTGGTCTTAGAGATTTTGAAAAACAAAAATGTTCCAAATATATTTGAGCCCCCTTTTTATTCTTCCCACCCATCAAGTAACAGCTAACCTGAATCTGATGTGTATCATTCCTAATATTACATGGTATGTGTCTGCCTAAATAATACATAGTTTTGTGAATTTTTTCACTTTTTAAAAATGGCAGTGAACCATATGTAGCCTTCTTTAACTTATTTGGTTTTTCACTTGGCATCATATTTTTAACATTTATCCATGCTGATTCGTTCAGTTTAGTCCATTCATCTTGATAGCTGCACATTATTCCATAGTATGAATATACCACAGTTTGTTCTCTTAATGAACATAATTCAGATTTTTTCCGTTTTTTGCTATTATAAACTATTTGACAGTGAATGTCCTTGTGTACATGTGGGAGTATTTTTCTAGGGCAGTCTCTTTAAAACTCCATAATATCACTTACATTTTATATGACAACCTGGTACATATAAACATAGATGCATACATACCTTAACACACTTTAGTAAGTAATACCTAGCCTTACAGCTATATGCTATTTACTCTGATATTTTTTACTCTGTTTTATTTTATTTTAAAGATTGTTGACTTTATAACCATGAAGGATTGAGACCTTGAGGGAATACACCTGGAAATAGAAAAGCTGAATCATAGGCTGTGCTCATCTTCAGCTCTACTAGATATTGTCAACTTTCTCTTGTCAGTGGTTGTACTGATTTATCTCCTTCCTGTGGTGTCTGAGAGTTTCAGTGTTTCTTGTCAACATTGGCTGGTACTCATTGTTACCAATCTGATGGATGTGAAATGATACCTCTCTGAGGTTTCAAGTTGAATTTCTCTTGTAACTAGTGAAGATCAGCTACTTTGCGTTTGTTTATTGGCTGTTTGACTTTCTTCTGTGAATTATTTGCTCATATCCTTTGCCCGTTTTTTTCTCTTGGGTTGTTGGCACCTTTTTATAGGCTTATAATATTCTTTATATATTCTGAATTCTAATCCTTTTTTGATTAAATGTGTTGCATACATCTTCTCTTGGTCTGTGGCTTGTCTTCACTTCGTTTTTGATCTCTTTAGTGGTCCAGACTTATGAAATTTTAATATACTCAAATTTATTAATGATTTTCTTAAGATTTGTGCTTTCTGAAGTAAGTTATTTTCTTCTATTTTCCTTTAAAAATTTAGAAGTTTTATTTTTTTTGTTTAGCTCTTTATTCCATCTGGAATTTAATTACAAGTAAATATTGATAGAGATTTCTTCCCCCCTCAAATGGGTTACCTGTTGTCATGACAAAAGATATAGAAGAGTTCATACTTGTAATGACGCCTCTGACTTACTCCGGATTGTTCTAGATTTGTGGGACTAGTTTGGGAATCTCATTTAAGTTTCTTTGGTCTGTTTACCTTTGCATTAATTTATCTTAATTATTATAGCTTTATAATAAGTAGGACAAGTCTCTCCACCTTATTCTTTGCTTTCAATCATGTCTATTCTTGACCATTTATTCTTTTTTAAAAATGTTAGGATCACTTTGTCCTGTTCTGTGAAATTGTGATTTTGATAGGAATTGTGCCGAATTTTAGATTAGAGACAGTTGATAAGTTTGACTCTTCCCATCCATGTCTATGGTTTTTATCTTTCCAACTTAATTTAGGTCTTTTTTTGTGTCTTTAAATAACATTACATAGTGCTCAGCACACATATTTATATATATCTTAAGTTTATTCTTAGGCTCTTCAAAATTTTTTGCTGCTATTGTAAATGATAACTTTTTACAAAAAAGTATGTTTTCCTGATTGGTTATGGCTGGTTGTTGTATGTTGTCCTTCTATCCAGCAAATAAACTCCTAATAGTTCCCACAGGTTGTAGGTTTTCTGGGATGTTTTCCGTACAGTCATATCTTCTGCAAATGATGGTTGTTTTTTGCTTTTTCAAATTTTCTTACCTCTTCTTCTTCTATGTGTTAGTGCATTGGTTGAGATCTCCAGAACTGTGCTGAATAATATGGATGATAGCAGGCATCTTCATTATGTTTCTGACTTTAATGCAAATTATTCTAAAATTTCATCATTAAATATTAAGTTTGCTGTAGATTTTCGATAGTAGCCTTTATCAGGTAACATTTCTTTCTATTCCTAGTTTGCTGGGAATATATATCATGAATGGTTATTAAATTTTGCTGTTAAGTTTTTTTCCTATATCTAGTAAGATGATCATGTTGGGTTTTTCCCCTTATCACTGTGATAAATCACATTGATTGATTTTTCTGTTGTTGAATCACTCACATATTCCAGAATGAACCCTTTGACTCTGTTATATAATTCTTTTAAAATGTACTGCTAAATTAATTTGGTAATATATTATTTAGTGTTGTTTAGTGACATTCGTAGCAAGATTATACTTGTAAAATTTGTTGAGTAGCTTTCCCTCTTCTGTTCTTTGAAACATTTGTAGAGGGTAGGGATTATTTGTTTTTGAAGGTTTGGTGATGGTTGGTATAACCTTTGGATCTGTTGCCTTTTTTTTTGTTTTGTTTTGAGGAAGATTAGCCCTGAGCTAACTTTTTGCTGAGGAAGACTGGCCCTGAGCTAACATCCATGCCCATCTTCCTCTACTTTATATGTGGGACGCCTACCACAGCATGGCTTGACCAGCGGTGCGTAGGTCCGCATCTGGGATCTGAACCAGTGAACCCCAGGCTGCTAAAGCAGAACGTGTGAACTTAATTGCTGTGCCACCGGGCAGGCCCCTCTGTTGACTTTTTTGAGGGGAGAATTTTAACTACTATTTCAAAGTGTTAAATAGTTTTTGTTTTATTTGGATAATCTGTTTCTTATGAAATAAATTTTGGTAAATAGTATTTTTCTTAAAAATTCCTATCTGGTGTAGATTTTACAGTTTATTGTTATAAAGTTGTTCAAGTTATTCTCTCATGTTTCAAAGTCTCTATTATGTCTTTAGTTAGTCATTCCATTTCATTCTTAATATTTTTCATTTGTACTTTTCTTTGTTTTCCCCTTGAACAGTCTTGCTAGAGGTTTGTGTTTATTTTACTTATTCATATTTTGGTCTTTTCCAGGAACCATATTTTGGTTTTATTGAGCTCTCTATAGTTTGTTTGCTTTCTATTTCACTAAATTCTGCTTTTATATTATTTCCTCTTCTCTGTTTAGATTTTTTCTGATATTTTTCCACCTTCTCACATTGAGTGGTGAACTTACCTATTTTCAACCTACTTGTTTTGGTGTGTTTTTTGGTAACTTTATTTTGATACAGTTTCAAACAGAGAAGTTGCAAGAATAGTACAAAGAATTTTTCCACATCCTTTATCCAAATGTACCAGTTACTTAGGTTTTGCCCTATTGCTTTATCATTTGCAGTCTCTCTCTGTATGTATGTATATATATGTGTGTCTGTGTTTGTGTATGTGTGTCATACTAATTTTTGGTCTGCTGATCTATCAGTTTCTGAGACAGATGTGTTCAAATCTACTAGTGTAGCTGTAGTTTTATCAGGTTTTTTCCTTGTAATTCTAATGGTTTTCCTGATTTGTGTATTATTAACTCCATGGAATTTCTTCATTGTTATATCTTCTTTATGAACTTTGCCTTAAATCCTATTTTCAATTATAATAATATTTCACTAACTTTCTTTCGGTGAATATTTAACTTTTATGTCTTTTTTTCATCCCTTTATGTTCAACTATTCTGTGTTGTTTTGTTTTAGGATGTCTCTTGTAAGCAGCATATAGCTGGACTTTGTTATTTTAATCCAGTTTGATAGTGTCTCTCTTTTATAGGTGAGTTGAATCCATTTATATTTATTGTAATCACCAGTACATTTGAATGTATTTCTTCCATCTTATGATTTTTGCTCATCATCCCTTTCGTTTGATTATTTCTCTGTCCTGTCATCTTTTCTATTGATTGAATTTTCTATATTCCCTTTGATTCTGCTGGTTTAGAAATCACTGATTATATAATTATCCTTAATATTTTCTTCTTTTGAAATCTTCATTTGAAGTTTCTAAATTTGCAAGGGTAGTACATACTTTTAACAATTGTAACTATTAAAAGATGTAAACAGGAAAAACCAAACACACCCTCCTGTGCCTATTTCCATTGCATTAAAGCAGTGGTTCTCAAATGAGGGTGATTTTGCCCCCTTGAAGCCATTTGGCAACGTTTTGAGACATTTTTGGTTGTTAAACTGGGTATAGGGGTGCTATTGGTATCTAGGGGGTAAAGACCAGGGATGCTGCTAAACATCCTACAGTGCCTAGGACAGTGCCCACAATAAAGAATTTTCTAGTCCAAAATGTCAATAGTGACAAAGTTGAGAGGGCCTGCCCTAAAGTATCCAATATTATTCACATTACAATCATGCACTGCATAACAACGTTTCAGTCAACAGTGGATCACATACACAATGGTGGTCTGATAAGATTAGTACCATATAGCCTAGGTGTGTAGTAGGCTCTACCATCTAGGTTTGTGTAAGTATACCCTATGATGTTCACCATAATAGAAATTGCCTAGTGACACATTTCCCGGAATGTATCCCCATCGTTAAGTGATGCACGACTATACTTTGCAATTCTTTTATTACTCAAAACCTAACAGTGAAAACTTTTATAGCATTTACTTTGTTCCATTCCCTCTTCTAGGACATTTAATCCTCACAACAAGCTTGTGAGATATGTCTCTGTTTTACATATGAGAAAACTGAGGCACAAAAAGGTTAAGTAACTTGCTAGTAGTGTAGCTAGTAAGTGCAGAACTACAAAGTGAAACCAGGCAAGCTGGCTTCAGAGACCCTGTTCTCAACACACTTAACAGCTTGTCATGGAGCAGTCCACAATCCTATAGGTAGAACTTTTTCCCCTGCATCGTTCGTGTCTGTGTGTGTGTGTGTGTATACATATGTGTACTTATATATATATGTATACACACACACCCAGGTATGTGTGTGCGTGTGTATAATTTTACATACGTGGAAATGTATTCTATTTGTATATGTATACAAAGACATAAGGAGTGTTTTTTTCTCATTGTTTTATAAAAATGGCGTCATAGTCATTTAGTCAACACACTTTGAATACCTGTCATGTATCAGGCTCTGGGGATAGAACAGTAAATAAAACAAAGTCTCTCTCCATATGGAGTTATATTCCAATGAGGTGAGACAGATATTAAATATGTACTATGATGTTGGAATAAAAATTAAGTAGGTTTCAGGTAGGTTACATATCTTTATCTCTGTATATCTTTTTCGTTAGTGCCTGGCAGAAGTTCCCTCAAGTGAGCTGGTATGGCTCTAAGTCATTTTCTTCTAGAGCTTGGCGGTATTTTGTGGTTGGATGTACTGTGACTTACTTTGCTATTTTCCTATTGGTGAACATTCACTTCGTTTCCAGTTTTGACTACTACGCTAAGTAGCCTCAGTCCGGTACCTTTATTTCTGTGAGATAATGTCTCAGGAGTGTACTTCTGGGTCAAAGAGTCTGTGTATTTTACATTTTAATAGATGTTGCCAAACTGTTTTACAAAGAAGTTGCAACTGTTCGTGTTTCTACCAACATTAATTGTAATAATCAACCTTTGTTGACTGATTACAATATGCCAAGCATTGTTTTGTGACTTTAGACTTTTTATCTCTTTTAATGCTCACAGCTCTCCTGTGATGTATGATTGTCCTCATGTCACAGATGAGTAATCTGCAGGTGTGTTGTGTAAGATCACTGGGTGGTGAGACCCTGCCGTCCTGCCCCTTAGTGCCCCGCCTCTTGTGGCCGTCGTGAGAGTGCCCCTCTCCTCCCACGGTTTCCAGGAGCAGTTGCCATACTTTTTTAATGTTTCCCAGTCTCAGGGCTGTAAAAACTTATCCCCTAAATGCTTTAACTTGTGTTTCCTTGACTGCGGTACAGTATGAACATCTTTTAATGTGTTGGTTGGCCATTTGGAATTACTCCTCTCTGAATTGCCCATGAGTACCTTTGATCATTTTTCTTTTGGGTTATTTGTCTTTTTATTTTGTTTAGTCAACTTATGGAAACTTTTGGACTGTAGTAGACGTTAATCCTTTATCTATAATCAATCTGCTTTGGAAAATTTTTTTTAATCTATCAAAAATATGTTGATTTCACTTATGTATCTCATTGACATGTCAGTATTTTAAATTTTTCTAAGGTGTGTCTTTCATTCCTGTTTTGGTTTTTTTTAGGACTTTTATTTTTTTTGTTTTTTTGTTTATTAATTTTTTTTCTGAGGAAGATTAGCCCTGAACTGACATCTGTTGCCAATCTTCCTCTTTTTTTCCTTAAGGAAGATTAGCCCTGAGCTAACACTTGTGCTAGTCTTCCTTCGCTTTATTTGTGGAACACCACCACAGCATGGCTGACAAGTGGTGTAGGTCTATGCCCAGGATCCGAACCCATGAACCTGTGCCACCAAAGCAGAACACACTGAACTTAACCACCACATCACGGGGCCACACCCTAGGACTTTTGTTTTTTTGCATCTGTCTTTAATCTATCTGAAATTTGGTTTTAGCATATGATATGAACTAAGGACCCACTGTTATTTTCTTCCAATTCTTTAGCTGGTTTTGCTATCATCAATTATTAAACAAGTCAGCGTTGAATTGAAATACCAAAGTATCCCCTTCATGAAAAATTTAAAATTTATTTATACCAGATTTGTTTTTTGGTTTCCTATTCTATTCTGCACATCTATTTTTTTACTCATATGTTAATACCAATTGATTTGATGCAGTAGCTTTATAGAATGTTCTAACATATGATAATGCCAATCCCATCTGTAGTTTTTCCATACTTTTTCTTAGCAGTTTTTGCTTTATTCGTCCATGTGAACCTTATGATTATTATATCCAAATTTAAAAATATGTATCTCTTGGGATTTTTATTCTTTTAGTAATGGAACAAGGTTGTGAGTGACAGACTCCAGCAGATACTTTTAACAAATATAGACTCTTTAAAGGTAAAAGTGTAGAAACTGAGACAAATCATTATCAAAAGCAGGAGATAACACTGCATGGTCTTAGAGTTGTGGCTTGCCATGTCCCCCAGAGTTTCCCACGAGGATGTAAGCTGTGAATAATAGTGCCTATAGGAGGTGAGGATTCTGCCCGTTCTGAGAAGCCTCTTCTGCCGTTCTCAAGAGAATTTTAGACCTTCTTGGTCTCTTCCTCTTTGTACTGGGAATTCTGGCTCCTCCCTGTTCACCATGTGCAAGTAAATGATGGAAAACCTTCTCAATACATTATTGAGTGACTTCTATGAACTAGGTGAAGTAAAATTCAGTTTCCTAGCAGCATCTATTGGCAAGTCCTGACTGAGGACCATTCCTGAAGGATTCTTAGTAGATTTGCATTATATGATATATACTAATTTTGAGAGAATTGGCACTTTTATGACATTGTCTTCCTATCTGAGAACTTTGTCTTTTCATTTATTCAGATCATGTTTTATTGCCTTCTGTAACATTTTATCTTTTTTTTCATTATAGCCTTATTCTTTCTTTCTTTCTTCCTTTATTTTTGCTGAGGAAGATTCACCATGAGCTAACATCTGTTGCCAATCTTCTTCTCTTTTTTTTTTGCTGAGGAAGATTCTCCCTGAGCTAACATTTGTGCCAGTCTTCCTCTACTTTCTATGTGAGTTGCCACCACAGCACAGCTGACGAGTGGTATAGGCTTGCGCCTGGGATCTGAAACCACGAACCTGGGCCGCCGAAGCAGAATGTGCCAAACTTAAACACTATGCCATAGGGCCAGCCCCATTCCTTATTTATTTTTTATCTTATGGATTTTTTTTCTATTGTGAACTGAATATTTCATTTCCCCCACCTCTATTTCCAGGTACTTACTGCTAATATAGAGAAAAAGGTTTTCATTACTGTATGTTTGTCTTATTCAGCCACATCACTAAATTTTTAAAACAATTTTAGAAGGTTTTTTTTCCCTACTAGTGCCTTTGACTTCCTAGGTATGCATTCACACCCATTAACAAATAAGGATAGCTTTAATTTTATTTTTTAATGTACTAGTTATTAGACTTTATTATATTATCTAGAATCTCCAATAGAATGTTTTATAATAATAGTGATAACAGGCATGTGCTTACATTTTTAATTTTTAATATAGTAAGACAGGGAACTTGATAGGCCTATCTAGTTAAATATCTCCCATCCCATCATCTTTGTTCACACATAAAGGTTATTTTTGAGTCAGTAGCTATTTAAATTTACCTACATGTTTTTTTGAGTTTCTCCTTTCCTCAGGACTCACTTTTATCTTTGCTGAAGTGCGTTCTTTAGTAGCTCATTCGTTGAGAGTCTTTGTTGGTAAACTCGTTAAGTCTTTGTCTGAAAGTGCCCTTACTTTACCCTCAGTTGGGCGGGACTGTCTCTTAGACTATCAGCTCTTTCCATATCCTGTTCATTGGCCTCTGTTGTCTATCGTTGAGGAAACATCTGCTGTCACTCTTATTCTTGTTGATTTATGGGTGATCTTATCTTTTTTTGGTAGCTTTTAAGATTGTGCCATGTTTGTACATGTGGATGTATTTTAATTATCCAATTTGGCCCTTGAGATGTATTTTTAATTTTGTCTCTTCACTTTGGGAAAATTATAGTCATTTTATCTCTGAATTTTGCCTCTCCACCATTCCTTTTCTTCTCTTCTGAAACTCTTTTTTAGATTTATAGTTTGGAAATATGGAAACATATATTTGGGGTTTATAATTTCTATTTTTATGTCTGTGTTGCATTCTGCGGGCTGGATTCTCAAATCCATCTTCCAACCAGTTAAGCCTTTTTATTGAAGATTATAGAAGTTTATCCTGTTTGATTTCTTATTTCTTTGTTCTCAAAAAACCTGCTGTCTCTAAATACATAGTGAGGTCTTTCACATGAAAAGAAACTTTATATGTGTCATGAATCTTTCAATTGCAAGTTACAGAGCTTGATACCAACTAGCTTAATGAAACAATTGTTTTTTAACGTAATGAGAAGTAGCATTAATGTGGTTTCAAGGGATGACCGAATTCCAGGACTCAAATGCTGTTGAAAGAATCTGTTTCCTTGACTTATCTCTCTCTCTGTGTTGGACTCATCCTTTCCCATTTGTTATTATTTTTGAGGAAGATTAACCCTGAGCTAACATCTGCTGCCAATCCTCCTCTTTTTTCTGAGGAAGACTGGCCCTGAGCTAACATCCATGCCCCTCTTCCTCTACTTTATATGTGGGACACCTACTATAGCATGGCGTGCCGAGCGGTGCATAGGTCCACACCTGGGATCTGAACCAGCAAACCCTGGGCGGCCTTAATGTGTGAACTAAACCATTGCACCACTGGGCCAGCCCCAATCATCCGTTCCCATTTGAGGAAGCTTTTCCACATTGCCTCAGGAATGGCTGAGAGGCATGAGGGATGGCTGCAGGCAACCCCAGGTTTAATTCAGCAAAACTTAACTCCAAAAATGAGGACCCCTCCCCGCCAGCTTTTGAACATAAAATCCCAGGAAATGACCATAATTGGCCTAACTTAGGTCACATGCCTGTCTTTGCACAGATCGCTCTGCCCAGGGTCTCGGGTCCCATGCCTGTCTTTGCACAGGTCACTCTGCCCAGGGTCTTGGGTCCCATGCCTGTCTTTGCACAGATCACTCTGCCCAGGGTCTTGGGTCCCATGCCTGTCTTTGCACAGATCACTCTGCCCAGGGTCTTGGGTCCCATGCCTATGCGTTTGGATAGATGCTGGAGCACTGATTGGTATTCCCACTAAGAGTTGCGTCATTGGAGGGTAATCTCTCTCTTCCCTGAAGAAGAGACAAAGAGATGTCACCAGACAAAAACAGACATCTATTTCATGTACATAATCTGTATTTTAACTTTTTATCTTTACAGACAGAAAGAATTTATTTTCAGGTTTTCTTACCTAAGGGGAGCAAAGAGAAGAGCAAACCAATGTTCTTTTGCCACCGATGGAGCATTGGAAAGGTCATAGACTTCGCAGCTTCTTTAGCCAGTCTTAAAAATGACAATAACAAATTGACAGCTAAGGTAACAACTGGTTATAATAATTTTTCCCTAAAATTTTTAGGATTCTCTATACAAGCTTGTTTATTTATCACAGTATGATATATTGCTCTCTTAACAGAAATTAAGGTTGTGTCACCTTACTTCCGGAGAAGCCTTACCCTTGGATCATACTTTGGAAACTTGGATTGCTAAGGAGGACTGTCCTTTATATAATGGTGGAAGTATTATCTTGGAATATCTTAATGATGAAGAACAGTTTTTAGAAAATGTTGATTCTTACTTGGAATAGTCAGTAAAGGATTCAAGCCGGAAATCATGAGGAAAACTCTATGTTAAGTCAATTTCCTTTATTAAAAATACTATATATTTTTTTGTTTTTAAAAGTCGCTTTTTAACTTATTTTCACTGTGTAATAATTTATATTATCAGTTTTCTATTAAATTGGAGTTTTTGTGTTTTAAAGTTTAACTATGAACTGACCCTAAATTATTAGCAAACTCTTGTGTTTAGTTAGCTTTTATTGGCTGTAGTGACAACAGCAAAGGTGTATGTCTCGTTGGAGTAACGTCAGCTGTTGATTGGCTGTGACTCTACCCTGTGTCGTCTTTACTCCAGCATCTAAGCTGAAGGAACAGCTCCTTTTTGGGACATTGCCGTTCTTATGGCAGAGGAAGAAAGAGCTGACTCACGGACATGTGGGTTGACTCTTAGAAGACAGATGTATCCCTTTTGCTTTAAGCAAGTCCCATGACCAAGCATAGCATCATGGGGCCAGGAAGATAGCCTTACTGTCTGCCTACATCATGATGTATAAATTGATGTGTGTATAGGAATCATAGAAACATAGAGGTCATCTCATTCACTCTTCTAAGTTTTTGGATGAGGAATCTCAGGCCTAGAAAGGGGAGGTGATTTTCTTGGTGTCACCTAACTACTTTGGGGCGTATCTCTGATAAAGAAGACTCTTCGTATTAGTTTAGTGCAAGGAACGGAGATAACTTCTCACTTTTATCAGGTGCTTATACATTCATTTATTGATATAGTCATTTGAGTACCTACTAAATGTAAGGATTTGATTCTAATTGCCATGGTGGATACAATAAAGAGATGTATAGTACATACTTACAACAGTAATACAAATCAGTGTGGCAAGTGCCAAATGAATAGATAGTAAGTATAACTATGTTCCAATAGCTCTTTTATCAGAAACTGTAAGATCAGAAGTAGAAATAATCCTTAAATGTATTCTCAGATACCAGAAAGTTTTAATACAAACTAATACCTTAGCATCTGACATAATTAATTGCACATAGTAGGTGATCAACACGTGACTCAAGAATTGAACTAAAGCTAAATATACCAGAGAAAATACCTATGGGGCTTGAGAACGAGGGAGGTAAGCCTGGCAGAGATTCAGTTAAACCTAGGGAGGATGAAGAAGAGTCCTGTTAATGATGAGACAGAAAAGACATGAAATAGCGCGGAAGGAAGAAGGACGCACGTCAATAGTGAGTGAGGCCCCATCCCAGATAGTGGAGCACGCTAGTCTGGAAGAGACTCAGGTACCAGCGTATTCAGAGTCTCTGGGACTGGGGGCTGCAGCGTGAGCAGTCTCCTGAAGAGAAGAAGGCTCTGGAATCAGACAACTTTCTCAGCCTTTCATTTAGGACTTTCAGGTAAGTATACTTAATGAAATTTTTGAGTTTGTCTGCCCCCACCCCACTCTTTCCACCTGCTTGCAGGTAACTAGAATTATAAGTAGAAAACCCACAAGTAGGAAAAAAAAGTTAAATTCAGATAAATAGTTGTAACAACACTGTGATACAAATGAGCTTCAGTTAGATGTAATCAGTAAGTACATGTGAATGACAGATTATTGTTTTTCCCAGATTTGTCAGATTTTATTCCCTGCAGTTTTCAAATGAGGAGAAGGCTTGCAGAACCTGAAGGGGAAAGGTTGCAGATAGAGGAATCTGAGGAAAACAAAACTTACATTCCTCACATCTTTGATCTGGGCTGCAAAAATTGTGAATTAAGGTATTGGTCACATAACTGTAAAGATGGGTTTGGTTTCATAAAGTTTTTGTCAGTTTTGTTTGTCTTTTTAAACTGGGCAATTTCCCTGGGAATTTAACTGAGATATCACACAAACATTAGTTCCATCCCCTGGATTCATTGGTATAACGTATCTTTTTTTCTTGATGTGGTACGTGGAAGTACAATTTATGAAATACAGAGTCTATTGCATTTGAAAGATTAATCTACGTAAATAGAATTTTTAAAAACTTGTAGAAATGTCAATAAAAAATTGCTTTGACAATTTTTGAGGCACAGATATTTTACGATCTAAAGTAATGTTGTGTTTAACACAGATGTGTCGCGATTGCGTGAAGGCTCTGCGGAAGTGGTTCTATTCAGAGACTACTAGATCTGTAGGCTCATTGTAGACAGCTGTAGTGGCTCTTTTTGGTGGGTTTCTTGTTTGTGTTCTCTGCTTGGAAACCCCCTCTTGTTTGGGAAGTACGCAATTTTGTGAGTCTGTAGGCTAAAGTCTGAAAAGCCTGATATTTTCCTTTATTCTTGGCAGCCAAGGCAGAGGCATCTGACCTACGTTGGGTCAGTTGAGTGTCCTTGTCCCAGCTGGGAATAGGGAATAGGGTTAGAAGGAAGGTGTAAGAGATTAGAATTAGTGCCGCTGGCCTTCCTTTGGCCCCCTGTGTCAGAGTCCAAGCGTCCAGCAGCGGTGGCCCCTTACCCAGGCTGTGCCTTTGGCGTGCATCCAGCCACCTGCTTTCCTTGGGTTCCTAAGCTATCTGGTAACCCTCCAGGAAACTTTTCCACATGGGGACACCAGAAACAGTTTCAGTTTTTGCCTCACTGATAGAATCATTCTTTAGAGTTGTATGAAAACTATTAGCAGCCTAAGGATATGGCAAGGCCAATTTATGGGCTCTGCAGTTTTCTAAGTAATGTTAAGCAGTGATAATGATGGGACAAAGGTCCAGGAGGGCAGAGATGGCATCCTGCTTGCTGACACTGGTATACTTGGCCCTTACCTCACTGCCCCAGCAAACATATTCAGTAATTATTGGTTTGATTTGACTTCAATGAAGAAAATAATAACACCCACCAGAAGGCCTCCTCAGTATCTAGTGTAGATTTTTGGATCCTGCCTGCTTTTAATGTAGATTTTCCTTAGGAAGGAACAGAACTCAAAATGATGACACTAAGGTTTTAAGTTCAGGTAAATAGACAGCTGTTTTTTCATTAGAGGAAATGAGGAAGTCAACAGTTAAGAGATTGGGTTTCTGCTTTGATAAATTGAACCTATTAAATGTTAGGGCTTCTGCATTTTCATAACTACAGGTTAAACAGGTTGTGTCACTCACTACGTAGCTTTGTATTTGAGAAGGGCATGGTCCCTCCTGCTGGACTTTGATCCAGCGAAAATCACTGTTAGCTAACAACCTCAGACCGTCACTGGAACACTGGTACGAAGATTGTTCTGGGCTTTTTTAAAAACATTTTTGCATATATGATTTATTCAGGCTTTCAAAATGAGTAGAAAACTTTTTATTGTACTGCTTTTGTTGTTTGTGACTCTGGGAGAAGCAAGGAAATCATTTCTCAGTTTTCTGACTATAGAAAAGACTGAAATACTATTTTTCACAAAGACTGAAGAAACTATCATTGTAAGATCAAGTTACAAGGATAAATGGCCAAACTCTAGTTACCTCTTTGTGCAACTAGAAGATCCGAAAATGCTGCGAGTGGTGAATGTGACCAAGACCTTATCGGATGTTACAAACTTCACCATAAACCTAGTAACAGATGAAGTTGGAGAGACGAATTTGACCATTCAGCTGTGGGATTCTGAAGGTAGGCAAGAAAGACTCATTGAAGAAATAAAGAATGTCAAAGTCAAAGTGCTCAGACAGAGAAAAGATGATCTTTTCCAGGCATCAATGCGTATTGATAGAAATATCCTAATGATTTTTCTGCCATTGATACTGTTAAATAAATGTGCATTTGGTTGCAAGATTGAATTAGAGGTGTTTCAAACAGTATGGAAGAAACCTTTGCCAATAATTCTTGGGGCAGTTACGCAGTTTTTTCTTATGCCCTTTTGTGGATTTCTTTTGACTCAGATTTTGGCATTGCCTGAGGCACAGGCGTTTGGATTTATAATGACCTGCACCTGCCCAGGAGGGGGTGGGGGCTATCTCTTTGCTCTGCTTGTAGAAGGAGACATCACTTTGGCCATTTTGATGACTTGCACGTCAACGTTATTGGCCCTGATAATGATGCCTGCCAATTCTTATATATACAGTAGAATGTTAGGGTTATCAGGTACCTTTCATATTCCCGTTTCTAAAATCACGTCAACACTCCTTTTCATCCTTATACCTATATCAGCTGGAATAGTCATCAAGCGTAGGAAACCTGAAAAAGCAAAGCTTCTGGAGAGAATAATTAGACCTTTGAGTTTTATTTTAATGTCTGTAGGGATTTATATGACTTTCAGAATAGGATTAATGTTTCTAAAAACAGTTAGCCTAGAGGTGCTTCTGTTGGGTGCCTTAGTTCCTACTTTGGGTTTGTCGTTTGGGTACTCCTTTGCTACAATTTCTATGCTGCCTCTTCCTGTTTGTAAAACTGTTGCTATTGAAAGTGGCATACTAAATAGTTTCTTGGCCCTTGCCATTATTCAGCTCTCCTTTTCACAGTCCAAGGCAAACTTAGCTTCTGTGGCTCCTTTTACAGTAGCCATGTGTTCTGGATGTGAAATGTTAGTGATCCTTCTGGTCTACAAGGCTAGGAAAACATGGATCCTTATAGAAGATAAAAGAAAAAACATTCCCTTGGCCTAACAATTAAAGCATTATTGAATTCCTACTCTGAATGAGGTACTGTGGGAGACTCAAAGAATATCTAAAATGATACCTGCTCTCAATCCACTTATCTGATTGAAAACTTGACATTAGGGGGGAAATGTATGTGTAATCATATGTGCTAAACACCCTGTGAGTAGTACAGACAGCTAATTGTACAGGAATTCTGAAGAAGGAGACCACTTTCAAGTGTGTTGGTTTGGAAATGTTTTATAGAGTTGGATTTCAATATGATACTTCATTATGGTCTCATAAGTGGCAAAGGGCAATTAAAAAAACTCCTATGACAGATTAGTGGTTACCAGAGGGGAAGGAGATAGGGGGAGGGTAAAAGGAGTAAAGGGGCACATATGTATGGTGACGGATAGAAACTAGACTCTTGGGGGTGAGCAAGATGCAGTCTATACAGAAACTGATATATAATAACATATACCTGAAATTACACAGTTATAATTTTATAAACCAATATGACCTCAATAAAACAATTTAACAAGAATTCCTGGGGCTGGCCCACTGGTGTAGAAGTTAAGTTCATGTGCTCCACTTCAGCAGCCCAGGGTTCGCAGGTTTGGATCCTGGACATGGGCCTACTCACCACTCATGAAGCCATGCTGTGGCGGCATCCCATATATAAAGTAGAAGAAGATGGGCACAAATGTCAGCTCAGGGACAATCTTCCTCACCAAAAAAAAAAAAAAGAACCTCCTGTAGTGATTGTGGTAATATCCCAAGTATCTACAGAAGAGGTGTCCACGTAATAAGCATTCAGTAAATGCTCATGTGGTGAGTGAATATATAAATTCCTATTTGGATCTCTCTGATTCATGGTGTCTAAAACTAACTGTAGCATCTCTGCACTGACAGCGTGCTTCCTCTTGTCTCCCACATCTCCCACTACAGCCGTTGACCCTGAAAGACAGGCTCATCTGTTCCCCTCTTCTCCTTTCCTCCCTCTTCTTTCTGTATAGTCAACCTATTTCCTACAGAAAATCCCTAGAATGTCTCTCCATCAGTCTCCTCTCCATTCCCAGCACTGCTGCTTTTGTTCAGGCCTCTATCACTTCGTCCGTGAACCTTTCTAGACTGGCATTTGTCCTCTCTGTCCACCCTGCAATCACTGTCAGATTAGTCTTCCTGAAATCTAACTTTGGTCATGTACTTTCCCTGCTACAAAGCCTTTTTTTGCCTTTTGGATTGAGTCCATTCTCCTCAGTGAGGCATTTATCATGCTCTGCTATCTGACCTCAATCTGGCCTCCAGTTTCCTCGCCCCTCCCACTTCTTTACACACAGCCTTTGCTCCCAGCAGGATGACGTGGATCTCATGCATATGCCTTTGTTCACACTGTTCCTGCAACCTGAGGGGCCTGCCTCAGCTCTCTCTAAATGTTAGCTGCTCCTACAGACCTGGCTCAATACCACCCTTGCCGTGAAGCTTTTGTTAATCCCCCTCAGCTACCAGTAAACTGAATGTTCTCTAAATTCTCCTCATTATTTTTTGTATTCATGGTATTTAACCAGTCTGACATGTTTTACAGCTATTCGTGTTCCTGTTTTATCCTTTCTATTTTGCTGTAAATCCTTGACATGAGAATTATAAACATAAAAAAATAAACAAAATAATATAATCTGAACAGTGTTCATTTAGCTACTCCCCATAATGTCTAACACATTTCCTACATGCTTATTCAAATAACGTGTTGATGCACAGACTAGAGCCCGCATGAATAGTGTGCTTGTTTAATACCACTTTTGAATTTTCAATGGCAATTTTTAGAATCTAGTTGGAGTTTTCACTCTTCTCCAAACAGAGTGTGGGCGTCAAGAATGAGAAATACCGCTCTCAATGATGCTGCTTCCCACATGTCCTAGCCCTGTAGTTGTAGGCAAATTACTTAGTCTCTCTGTAGTCCACTTTCCTCATCTGAAAAATGGAGATAATGGTGTGGACTCCCTCAGATTGTTCTAGGAATTAAATGAGATCCTACTTAAAACGTACCTAGAACAGTGTCTGCACACAGTACGCACTCCGAAAGTGTTAACCACTGCCATTATTTTATCAGAGCTTAAACTTCTGGCCCTGATGTATCTGCCATCGGTTTGAAATACCAATCTGATAACTACATATGGAACCTAAATCTTTGAACATTTTCCTATTAGTGTTATTCACCATCTTATTCATAGTATTAGAGAATTTTTGTTTACTTTGCTAGCCGGTAAGAGAACTGAAGTTTTATTCTCTGGTTTCACCAAATCCAGTACATGAATACCAAGATTTATAAAAGACACGGTTTGGTATGGTGGTGGTTGGTTATTATTCACTTTATAAAATGATAATTTCCTATGTGGAATAATTTACTCCTGAGTCCTTTAAACAGAAATATCCACTTAGGGTTTTTTTTCTTTTTAAAGATTGGCACCTGAGCTAACAACTGTTGCCAGTCTTCTTTTCTTTTTTTTCCCTGCTTTTTTCTCCCCAAATCTCCCCAGCACATAGTTGTGTATTTTTAGTTGTAGGTCCTTCTACTTGTGGCACATGGGACGCTGCCTCAGTGTGGCCTGAAGAGTAGTGCCCTGTCCGCGCCCAGGATCTGAACCAGCGAAACCCTGGGCCGCCGGAAGCGGAGCGCGCGAACTTAACCACTCGGCCCCAGGGAGTTTAAATATAATTAAGTTTGCACAAATTTAACTTACATTTTCGTGAGCTGCCTTTCCAGTTGCACTTTATCCTTAACCTTGTGACCTCAAACAAGACATTTCTCTGCACTTCAGTTTTCAAATCTGTAAAATGAAGAGGTTCAACTGAGGCTTAGGATCTTGCTCAACTCCTTAAGTCTGTGGTTCTGGCATAAAACTGGGACGTAACCCCATGGGCAGGGCGATGGGGTAAAGTGAGGAAGATCCAGGCTGTTGAGAATAAACATGCATGGCTGCTGCTTTGTAGTTAAGCCACAGCCAAAATATGAGCTGCCTGAGAGCAGCGACCATGTATTGTTCTTTGAATTCCCTGCAGAGTTTAGCACAATGCCTTGAACAGAGTAGGTGCTCATTAAATGACAATTGCATTAAATGATAATTGATAATTAATAAGGTCAAGATCGTATACTCGGGAGCCAGACTATGCCTCGATCTGCAGTTCCATCTCTGTCATTTACCAGCTGCATGACATTGATCCAGTTACTTAATTTCTCTATGCCCAAATTCATGTGGAAAGTGGGAATAGCGATAGTACCTACTTCATGGTATTGTTGTGAGGATTAAATGAGTTAACATGAGTAAGGTCCTCAAAACAATGCTTAACACATAGTAAACTCATTATTATTGTCACTTTGCATATTTGAATGATCTTCCACCTTAAAAGCAGTTGAATATGCATGGATGGAACTTGGAATATATTTTATTTCTCTTATCAATGTATCACAGAAAACCAAGATTTTTACATAATAAAATTTGTTTAATTTGGATTGGGGTGAAGTTATTCAAGTTATTCTTTTTTTTTTTCTTTTGCTGAGGAAGATTTGCCCTGAGTTAACATCTGTTGCCAATCTTCCTTGTTTGTTTTTTTATGTGAACTACAGCCATAGCATGGCTACTGACAGAGGAGTGGTGTGGGTCTATGCCTGGGAACCGAATCTGGGCTGCTGAAGCAGAGCATGCTTTGCTAGGTCACTGGGGCTGGCCCTCAAGTTATTCTTTTAAGAATGAGATGCATAAAGCATGCTGTCTAATTGGTTGTGTTCATACCGGGTATTTTACACAGCCATGATTGGTTAGGAAAAAGACCCAGAGGTAGAGGGGTTAGGCTAGTTTTTTTAAAGGTTCCTTTCCAACTCTATAATATATTGCTCCTAGAATAAAAATTGCATGTATATATTCTTTTTTTGTTAAAGATCTTTATTATTATTATTTTTTTCCTTCTTCTCCCCAAAGCCCCCCAGTACATAGTTTTCTATTTTAGTTGTGGATCCTTCTAATTGTGGCATGTGGGACACTGCCTCAGCATGGCTTGATGAGTGGTGCTAGGTCCACGCCCAGAATCTGAACCGGCAAAACCCCCGGGCTGCAGGGGCTGACCCCATGGCCTAGTGGTTAATTTGGCACGCTCTGCTGCAGGTGGCCCAGTGTTTTGTTGGTTCGAATCCTGGGCTCGGACATGGCACTGTTCATCAAACCATGCTGAGGCAGCGTCCCACATGCCACAACTAGAAGGACCCACAATGAAAAATATACAACTATGTCCTGGGGAGCTTTGGGGAGAAAAAGGAAAAAAAATAAAATCTTAAAAAAAAAGAAAAAAAACCCAGGCTGCAGAAGTGGAGCGAGTGAACTTAACCACTCAGCCATGGAGCATGTCAGGATCTTAACCAATATCTGCAACTCCAACCTATGTTATGTCAAAATATGGAATCTTGTTAGATAGCCTGGAAATTCCACCCCTGAGGACCTGCACATCTTGTATGTAGATTTTATCATTTTTAATCAAAATCCTCTTGAGGCTGGCCTCATGGCCTAGTGGTTAAGTTCAGAATACTCTACTTCGGCAGCCCAGGTTCAGTTCCCGGGCACAGACCTACACCACTCGGGGGCAGCCGTGCTCTGGCAGCATACCACATACAAAACAGAGGAAGATTGGCACAGATGCTAGCTCAGGGCGAATCTTCCTTAGCAATAAATAAATAAATAAATAATCCACTATGCAACTAACTATTAACTAAGAAAGTCTTGTTATGTGGAAGCTGAATTTTTTTTTTAGTGAAAGGAGTTGCCCTTTGAAAGAAGTCAGCTCCAGAGACTAAGTAGCGGTAGCAAGACACCCGAGATTGCTGGAGAAGGAATCACCTTGGTGGTCCCTCTTTATTGTGCAGATACAGGGCAATGGAGCACCTGTTGTCCATGTAGAAGGATACCCAGACCACTCTGTGGCTTGACAAAGGCCATCCTTCCCCGGACCTTCTCCATGTGCAGTCAGGTGTCTCGGGAGGTGTGGGGCATTGGATCTCACCGCTTCCATTTTGAGGTTTAGCGTAAATAGAACTCTCTCAGGGATGGAAGTCAGCTGGTAGGAAAGGATGTCAAAGGCCCCAAAGAGGGATCTCACCATTGGGGAAGTCCCGAACAGTGACCTGGACACCACGCCAGGGATCAGGTTTCGTCCTGGCACAGCGTATGCCTGAGGCTGGAACCTGTCCCCTTCCTAGCCCCCACCACCTTGGCACGGCAGGTGATCTTTGGGATTGGGGACAGCCACTGCAGATATGACTGTAGCTTTAAAAATTGCCCCTTTGGGAACCCAAGAGCAATGAATCGGGTCCTGAGGACTGCAGCCATCTGAACCACTTGCAGCACCAGCCAAAAAACGTTGAGATTGTGTGGCACCAGGCTGCAGCACTGCCAGACTGGGTCCGAGCACTGGGGATTCTTCATTTCACTTCCAGGCAGGCTTCTGGAAGCACAATGGCCGATTTGGACTGAAAACACTGATTACTTGAGAACAATTGTGCTGTGGCGGCTGAGGCACTTACAAAAAGATTGGACTTCCTGCTCATCTGAGATAGGAAGCTTGAAATGATTTGAATTTGAAGGAATAAGCTATTTGATCTATCTTACCTCATATTGCCTCCACTGATTTTGGCAGCTTTACCAAATCAGTGGGACCATGTTCATTTAAAAGAGGTTTAAAGAGGACTCTGGTGACATTTCTGCAAAAGCCTAGAAAATTTTATTTGATTACAAATCAACACTTGTCACCATGTAGTTGGCAAGATTTTTATTTCTAACATGACTGACAATGAAAAACCAAAAGGCTAATTTCTGAAGTTTGTGTTATTCTTTTCTAAGTCAAGAAAACAAAAGCATCATCTGCTAGACAAATCAAGGTATCCACATCAGATACTTAAGGCATGATTCTTCAGAAGAGTGAAAACAAAGTTCTGGCTCTTCCTGAGCTTTGAGAATTGGTCCCACCGTTCAAGTCATTCATCTTCAAGAACTGTTTCATTTGCAACACGTTGGTGACAACACCCTGGCTTTTGATCAGATTATGGGAAGCAATCACTTCACAAGCAAGGAGCTTTTAACCCACTTTCCTGGTCCTGCTGTGGCTAGGACATCTTATATCTGTGCAGTGCTCTTTGTGTTATAAAGGTAAGACTATCTATGACATGATGCCAGACCTGTTATTTCAAGAAAAGGGTACATTTTAAGGACAATAGAATAGTCCTTGTATCATATAATGCAACCTCATCGTGCCATGTATTCTCTGAGTGTGGACTGTGGAGTCACTGTGTTTCACTCTTTGCTCTTGTGTGATCCCAGGACAAATCACTTCTCTGAGCCTCGGGTTCTTCATATGATGAAACTAATCATATCTCCCTTATGGAACCGTTGCAACGTTTAAGTAAAACAGCGTATAAAACACAATGGCCTGAAGCATGGTAAGTCCTCGAAAAGTGATAAGCAAATGAAGTATTGAGAATAGGAGCAGTTGGCTCTGGCCATCAATTTATCTATCACAGGTTTACTACAGTGTATATGGATATGCATATGTATATGTGTTTATATATAGTCTAGGTTTACCTAGTATAGGTTTAGCCAATAAAAGCTGCAAAACCGGAGTCATACCTCAAATTGGTGTTTTGTCAAGAGGAGTATGGAATAAAAAAAGGGAGAAAGAAACTGAAATGGGAAAACGGGAGGAATGGAAGATGGAGGAAAGAATGGGCGGAGTAAAGACGAAAGGAATTTTAAGAAAATTTACAGGAGAAAGTGCAGGCAGGAGAAATGCAGTTAGAAGAACCAGAGACGGGACAGAAGGGGCCAGATCGCACGCTGGGACAGGCCAGGATGCGGAGGGGCGGGGCGGGCCAGACCTCTCGGGGGCGTGTCTCGGCGGCGGGGCGTGGCTCCGCGTGCCCACGCCCCTTGGGCGGGCCGCAGGGGCGGGACTTCCTGTCCGGTACGCTGCCGGCTCCCTCCGGAAGAGCGGAGCGGCGGATGCCAGCGGTCCCCTGCCGAGCCCGCCACCCTCCAGCCCGAGGTGAGACCTGCGTGTCTGCGACCCCGCGCTGGCCCTCGGGCGGGCTCGGCGGGCGGCGCGGGCCCGGGCGGCCGCGGGGGTGGGTGCGGTCGTCGGTGCGGCGTGGGCACTCAGGGCGGAGGCCGCGGGTGGGGCGCCTTCATCCCTGCGGGGTTATCCCGAGCCGCCGCCGTGTGGTGGCACCAGGGACGGCCCCGCGTGCTGTAGCGGTTTCGCCCAGGCGATCTCACGGAACCCGTGCAGCGGCTTAGGTAGAATAAGTCCCCCTTTGTCTTGTACCGACGCCGAGGAAGCTCAGAGAGACTGGCCTGTTCCCACGTCTCGTGGTCCACGCGCCAGCCCCGCATCCGTGCTGTCCGCAGTCGGGCTGCTGAGCGCGGGTACAGAGAGGAGGGTGGCTCTTCCAGGCCAAGGCGTCCCCCGATCTTCTCAGTGCGTGTTCCCTCCTCAGGAGTGTCACTCGGCCTCAGGACTCAGTTGCTGCTTGTTCCCCCGACTTACGTATTTATATCTGCAGGCCGTCCCTCTCCTCTGAGCTCCAGATGTCTGTGTTCAGCTGCTTCATCGACATCTCCTTTCGGTTTCATGAGGGCCCCTCATCCTCTGCTAATTAGACTTTCTCCCTACCTCCCACGCAAATCCCAAACTTGATTCTTTTCTATTGTTCCATTTCAGTAGATTTCGCCATCATTCATTCACTTGCCCAAGTGGGAAATCTGGACGTCACTAAACTCTCTCTCTCCCTCATACGCCATATCCAATCTGTTATTAAGTCTCCCCAGCTTTACCTCCCAAACCAAGTGCCTCTTATCTTGATTCTCTGAACGTCTCTACCTGCCAGGCTCCCCAGCTCCCAAGGTTTAAGCCAACAAGCCAACCCAGATGTCTTTCCTGAACTGCTGCGTCCTAAATCGAAATCTCCTAACCGAACTACGCCTCTGTCTTATTTACCCACCCCGGCTCTCCACTCCACCCTCCAACGCCTGTTTCTCACTCTCAGATCTTGTCTTTGAGCCCTGCACCAGATGATCGCTCTCTCCCCAGCCTCACCTCCCTGTTCTCCCTGGATCTCTGAGCTGGCGCACGTGGGCCTTTCAGGTACGCTTCTGTCCCAGGCGTCCTGCAGTGCAGTGGGTTAGTGCCTGTTCACTGGTCCTTCAGATCTCAGTTTAACCGTGTCCTCTGGGAATCCTCATCTGCTCCCTGAGACCACGTCAGAGCTCCCCGGTGATCTGCTTCCCATTGCACTTCCCCTCCTTAGCCCTTATCACACTTGTGGTTTGGCTTGTAGTCTGTGAGTTTTTTGATTAATACCCGACTCCCCACTAGAGAGTGAGGACTGGGTCTCCTTTTCCTCACCGTAAGGCATACACAGCATATAATAGGTGTTCCACAAATAGCTATTGAGTGATTAAACAAATAATGGCTTTTGCATGGAGAATCCCTAGAAGAAAGGGTAGCTTTAGAAATGGGCGTCGACGAATTGGTAGGTGTTATATCAAGTGTGTTAGAAGACGGAGAGAGGTAGGAGTGACTTGACCAAAGTTTCTGGCAAGAAAGCAGATGCAGCGTGAGAATATCTAGTTCTCTTAAACTTAGAAGAGAGGACTGGGAGTAAGAATGAAAAAAAGAGTTTGGAAACAGTTCTTGAAGCACCCTGAGAACTGAGTTACTTCTATAACTCAGAAAGTGGCTTCTTTTTAGATATTTCTAAATGCTTATATCACAAGCAGCTCACCGTATATGTCCTTTGCCCTCCCCTTCCTTCCCCTCCCCTTTCCTATACCCTGAGCGCCATGGGAGGGATTTCGGAGTAGTCTTCAAGTTGGAATTCTGTGTTGGTTATTCTGTTATTAAGATGGTGAAATTGAGGTTGCTTTATAGATGAGGCTACGTTTTTCTGAGTCTAGCAGCTTAAAAAGCTTCAGTGTCCTAGGTACAGACTTTAAAGTGTGGTCACGCCAGTGGTGAGTTATTTTAGTCTTCTCTTCAGAAGTCAGTGGAAAGCAGGAAAGTTCAGAAGACAAAAATATGTTTTTCCCTCTCTGAAACTCAGGGAAATAAATTTATTTTTTCTATACTATTATTGTTTTAGTCTTGGAATTTTCCTTCCTCGGAGTGTTATAGTAGAAAGAGCAGTGGACTTTAAATCAGAATTGAGTTCAAATTATGAGTCATCTGTGTCATCGTATAACCTTGGCAAATTATTTATCATCTCTGAGCTTTAAGTTCTTTGTCTTTACAACCTCATTAAAAAGAAATTCACACATGCAGAGCGCCAAACTGCTGACAGTCCGTACATGTGACTTCTGCCCCGTCCCTTCAGCTTCTTTAATTTCAGTGTCCCCGTGTTCCTTCTCTTATTTTCGCTTTATCCTCCACCCAGACATGCACCTATCTTTGAAAATAGTTCTTGTGTCCTTTCTTCTCCATTCCCCAAACCAGTGATGCTTTTTAAGTGTGATAGGCTGTGAGCACTTTGGGAGACACTTTTACAGACTACTTTTCTTTCTGGAAATGTTTCTACAATAGAAGTGAAGTAATAAGTAATTTTTTTAAAAAAAATTGAACTCTAGAATCAGGAAGAGGCTGAATCCTGAATGAAAGTGTTTTGCTCATTGACATGTTTTTGTGGACCAACTATTCTGTAATTAAGACTTTCAGAGATTTGTGACTGCTTTGTCCTGATACGTGTTAAGTCTGTTCAGAAGATGGCTGATCCTTGGCAAGAGTGCATGGATTATGCAGTAACACTAGCAAGACGAGCTGGAGAGGTATGAACTGAAAGCTCGCCGGCCATAGAGTGATGGATCTGGACAGTGTGTGGTTGCCTTGTTAAATGAAACATCTATTTTGATTAATCTGCATTTGTTTCCATTTTACCAAACACTTTAAATGGAGTGAATACTCGGATTTTATGTCATTAAACTTTTTGTGATAACAGTTTTGAATCTGAAATAGGATGTAAGATTATATGGTTTTGTACTTAGAAAGTCATAACCACTAAGGGCTTCTTTTATGTACTTTGTCGTAAGAATATTTTAAGAATATTATTTAAGACAGATGGAATGTTTTAAACCTTTTCTGTGTTTTATCTTTTAGTTTGATTTAAAATGACTTGTGCTTCTTCTCTTTGCTCACCAAAAAAATCTTTAGGTGGTTCGTGATGCCCTGAAAAATGAAATGAATGTTATGATTAAAAGTTCTCCAGCTGATTTGGTAACTGCTACTGACCAAAAAGTTGAAAAAATGCTTATCTCTTCTATAAAGGAAAAGTATCCATCTCACAGGTATTTCTTATTTCAGTTTCTCATGATAAAATAAAACCTAGTTTGGAGTCAATATACTAGATAAGAATTTTGATTCTAGATACAGAAATTGACTTCAGTTACCTTAAGCTGACCAGGAATTTGTTCGGAGGGTGTCAGGTGTGTCAGGAGCCCCGAGGGCAGGGCTGGGGCAGGACTCAGGGAGGACCGCAGAGCTAGATGTGCCACGGGAGCCATCCCGTCGGATGCTGCTGGTGACCTCACTCTTGCCTCTGCTGGCTTTGGATATCTTTGCCTCCTTAGCTCAGGCTTACAGATCCTGGGCAGGGACAACTGCTTGCTGAACCAAGGTAGTTTTCAAGGCCCAGGCTGCCAGGGAGCAGTGGATAGGGGGTATGTCAACTCTTTTATATGGAAGAGTGGTGGTAGCTTTAGGGAGTTTGAAAGAAAATACTGAAATCAGTGCTCTCTTACAGGCGCAGAAGTATAGCAAAAACATTGTCATCATTTTAAAGTTTTAACATTGTCATTCCCTACTTCTTGGTCATGCCATTGGCCATTCCTGCTGTTTTAGCCAGTTGAGAAGAAACAATGTTGAAGGCCATGGCTAAGCTTACTTCCTCTCAGGAAAAAGATTTGCAGCTAAGACAAAAAGAGATCAGAGAAAGTCATGATAATGATGTTAGGACAGTTCAGTATTGAATAAAGGAAATAAATAAAAAAAGAAATTAGGAAAGGAAAGAAGACCAGTGAACTCAAACACCATTGACTGAATTCCCCTGAGATTTATTGCCCAGAGTGTCTTAGGAAGGCATGTAGACACAGAAGTTGTGGTGGGTGATGTGCTTTCTCGTTGACTTATTCAGTGTTCTCTGTATTGTCTATTCCTGCCTAGTAAGTTACTCTAAGAACTTGGCAGCTCTGGACAGCGGACGTTTATGATCTCAGAGTTCTGGGGTCAGGCGTGTGGGAGAGGCTTGGCTGCAGGGTTCCGGCCAGGGTCTCACCAGGTTGTAGTCAAACTGCCAGTCAGGGCTGCAGTCGTCTCAAGGCTCAACTGGGGCTCACGGATCCGTTCACGGATGTCATTGGTGGTGACTTCAGTTCCTCATGGGTTATCTGTGGCAGCTCAGTTCCTCACCATGTGGGCCTCTCCACAGAGCAGCTCATTACCTGGAGGCTGGCTTCCGCCAGAGCAAGAGAGGGAAGGGGAGGGAGGGAGAAATAGAGCGAATAAGATGGAAACCACAGTGCCATTTTGTGAGCGTGTCTCCAAAGTTGCCCATTGTCACTTCTGCTTTGTTCTCTTGGTTAGAAACGGGTCACTAAGTCCAAATTCACGCTCAAGGCGAGGCGTGTTAGGCCCTACCTCTTGAAGAGAGGAGTATGAGAGAAACTGTGGACTTATTTTTAAAACCACATTTCCTTAATAAGTTCTCATCTGCAGCCAAGGCCCTTTTCATATGTGTGTGTGCGTGCACACATGCACGTGCCTTTACTTACCCTGGGATTGCATTGTGAATTCTGTTATTTTGCACATGACTTTGCTCTGGGGGAAATAAAGCTTTCTCACTTTGTCAGTCTGAGGAAAAAGGAAAAACAATAGAAAGGTGTGGTGTATAGCCTCTTGTTACGTTTAATAGTAGACTCTGTAGCTAAGAAGGAAATGATAAATGTGAAAATTGTTGAAAGCTATGTAAAGATTCAAAGTTTGCCCTTCTTGCGTTTAGTTTCATTGGTGAGGAATCCGTGGCAGCTGGGGAAAAAAGTGTCTTAACCGACAACCCTACATGGATCATTGACCCTATCGATGGCACAACTAACTTTGTACATAGGTATGTGTTTTAAATTTTAATATTGTAATTATAATATTTGTATATTACCCAAATGAACCTTTAGAGAACTCTGTTCATGAACATATATACGTCAGAGAATTATGTAATTTGTAGAATAAAACGTACTCTGCAGAGTTTTCATCAGATACGGAAGACGTGATGAAATATTCATGTTGTGGGCTTGCCTTGTGCAGTGAAGTGCCCTGTTCACCATTTTTCTCACTGTTGGAGCCATGTAAAAATGTAAGCAGGCAACCTGGCTGCTCTGAGATCAGTTAAGGAAGTAGTGGGGTCCGTTTTGGAGTGTGTCTGTATAGAATGGGTTCAGTCCAGGAGAGAAACTTAAAAAGAGCATGGATTGGGGGCTGGCCCCGTGGCCGAGTGGTTAAGTTCGCGCGCTCCGCTGCAGGCGGCCCAGTGTTTCGTTGGTTCGAATCCTGGGTGCGGACATGGCACTGCTCATCAAACCACGCTGAGGCAGCGTCCCACGTGCCACAACTAGAAGGACCCACAATGAAGAATATACAACTATGTACCGGGGGGCTTTGGGGAGAAAAAGGAAAAAATAAAATCTTTAAAAAAAAAAAAAAAAAGAGCATGGATTATAGGATCAGCAGACTTGGGCTTGAATCTTGGGGCTTTTTTATAGGCTTTGTGACCTTGAGCAAGTTACCTCATCGTTCTAAGCCTTAGTCGTTGTGTTCTTATCTGTAAATTGGGCGTGTTGAGGGTACCTGCCTCAAAGAATTGTTTGTTGTTGGGACCCAGTGAGTAGTACCTTTAGGTAAGGACGTAGTATAGTGCCCGGCACAAAGGAAGGATGTGACTCAGTGTGTTAGCGCTAGAAGGAAGCCTGGTGGAGATGCCAGGGAGAGTTCATTTGGTGGGATTACGTGGATGTTATGTTTGAAGTTGCCACATAGCTGTACATATCTCTACTACTAGAGAATTGTTCAAGTCTATACAGCTGAGATTTAGAATCTATATCTGATAGAATGTTGGTGTGGAGAGATGCTCATAATATATTGTAACACAGAGAAGATTGTAATACAGTGTGTATAGTATGATCCCGTTTTTGTTAAAATAAAAACTGTATTAAATATTTTTAAAAGTTTTTATTTTCAGTAGTTATATTGAGCCTATTTTGTCTGTCTGTTTTGTTCATCTTGATTCTCTTCTGAGTAAGAAGTTACAACCTCTGTGTTCACACTGTCAGGCATCTGTAGCAGTAACGTGGCTGACACCTGACTTTTCAGATGTGAAGCTCCAAGTTTGGTGTTAGAGTTGAGAACAGTAACAGTGTATTTTGTACAATTTAGTACCTGTGTTTATAGGTGAGCATAGGTCCAGACTGTGGGAGAAATGACCAAAGAAAAGAGACTTTTCTTTTTAACCATGATCAATTAAAATTGTTTAAATTTTGATTTTTTGGAAAAAATATTTTGCATAGTTACTATATTAGTGGTATTTGACATTCAAAAGATATAAAATGGCATGCAGCACAAAGTATCCTTCCCGTTTCTGACCCCAGTTTCTCGAGACCCATCTTCAGAGGTGATCATGGTTGTCAGTTTCTTGTGAATCCTCTCAGAATGTTTCATGCCTGTAGAGGCGTCCTGTGTATATCTATATATCCTACCCAGCCCCTTTCCACCATCATTTACACAAAGGGTTGCATACTGTACATGCTATTCTGGAGGATGAGGGATGAGACTGTTTCTATGAAAAATGTTATAAGCAATTGTATTATGAAAAAACATGTTTATTAAAAATAAATTCTATCTTGGTAAATTTGTATTTTTTTTTTTTGAAGATTTCCTTTTGTAGCTGTTTCGATTGGCTTTGTTGTAAATAAAAAGGTATGTTGTTTAAATTTATGGTTGGTAAAATGCCTTACTCTCATTTTCTGAGAAAGAGTAAATGTGTCTCCTTAATGAATTTAGGTTTGTCTCTATATTCAATTTATATAGCTGCGTTATTTTGAAAAAGGTTATCACTGTTAAGATTATCATGGTACATTTTCCAGTGAAGAAAATTTAATGTTTTCTGAGAAGCAAGAGTTATAAGGAAAAAAATGCACACAAGTAACTGAAATATAGATTCAATCCTTAATTACTATTATATGCATGGTAGAATCAAATGTGACAAGGAGTGATGTATGATCTAGCATCCTCAGTGGAAGCGGTGGGATTTGACCTAAGAGCGTGTTAATAGGTGTCAGTGAAGGGAGCCATCAAAGACCAGGAAGTGGCGGTGGGGCCGAGGCTTGGTGGGCAGACGCAGAGTGTGTTCAGGAGCCCAGTGCTTGCGGTATCTGAAACCCAGTAGAGTATAATCTGCGGCTGTTGCCTTTCCTTGCTGTTTGGCTGTTTCATCAAACAATGAATGATATTTGTTAACATCTTACGTACCTGTTTCAGTCAAGAAGCTTGTCACATATTTGATCAGCATGTACACAGAGACTTAAGAAATCTCTGAAAATAAAAACACAAATTAGTGCCAATGAAATCTTAGGCACAGGGTTGTGTTAGCCCGTGAGAACATCCAAAGGGAGCTGGGTGAGCATTTGGCCTGTAGTCAGCCTGCGCTATGGGCTGTCGCTGCCATTGGGTTCCCAGTTCAGTGCAGGTGTTTGGTGCATGAGCAGATGATTGTGCTGGAACTGTGAAGAAATACTGTGAGGACATGAAGAGGGTGTAACCAATTCTGCCAACAGTGCTTTGGGGAAGTCTTCATAACAGAAGGGGTCTTAGAATTTGGTCATGTGTGTTGGATCTTAGAAAACTAAGGGTTTGCCAAATACAGAAGAACAGGAAAGCATTTTAAGTAGAAAGAACAGCTTAGAGAGGAGTGTAATGTGTGTGGGGAACAGTGAGATGGGGATCGTGAGTGGAACTCTGGGCACGGTGGGGGCAGACCTGACGAGGTCAGTCAGTTGTGGTCTTATTGTGAGATTGTGGCCTCTCCGTGCCAGGACATTTCCATTCTGTTCTTAGGTGGTAGGAAGCCAGTAGAGCTTTTTAAGTGCAGAGCGACAGATAATTCCAGCAGTCAAGAGATGGTACCTGAGGGGCGAGTGATTCTGAAGTAAGACGGGGCAGTGAGAATAGCCAAGGAAATGCCAAGATCAGGAGCGTGTTCAAGGTGGAATTTGAAGGAGGAGACTGACGGGGAAGAAGTGAGGTGAGATCAGGTAGTGAGTGACTTTGGCCTTTTTGGTTGAAGTTTCTGCAAGACTAGATTCTGAAGCAGACGTTCTTACCTGATGACGGGCTTGATGGGAGCCACGGTGACGGGGAGCTGAATTTGTGGACTGGAGAGAACAAGCCTGTAAGAATGCTGAGAGCTAGAAGGGGAATGGAGGAATGAAAACCCTGAGGTGTACGTCTTTTAAGGGTTCGGACGCCAAGATAGAGTAGTGAGTGAGGCGGGAGGTGTGGGAGGGTCCTGCCGCCAAGATAGAGTAGTGAGTGAGGCGGGAGGTGTGGGAGGGTCCTGCCGCCAAGATAGAGTAGTGAGTGAGGCGGGAGGTGTGGGAGGGTCCTGCCGCCAAGATAGAGTAGTGAGTGAGGCGGGAGGTGTGGGAGGGTCCTGCCGCCAAGATAGAGTAGTGAGTGAGGCGGGAGGTGTGGGAGGGTCCTGCGGAAACGTGGAGGGACTGGATGAAGTGCTGAAGCAGCAGCGATGAGCGTCAGCACTCTCCGCGTCTTCAGCGGGGGCACTTGGCCGGTAAGAGTTCCTGAGTGATCTCTTTGCGGGGAGTTTTAGAAGAATGCATGTCAAGGCAGAAGCCACATTATCATGTATTAAGAGGAAAATGAGAGAGGCAAAGTGTAGACTATGCTTTGGCAGTGAAGGGAGGAAGAGAAGGTCGCATTTTGAAGGTTTGGTAAGGGCGGGAGTTAGCGGGGACGAGCCGTGCTGGAGAGCAGGGCCGCTTGCTGGAGCCGCTTTTCAGAGACGCGAGAGAGCGTAGGAGTCAACGCAGGAGGAAGGTTCTCCCGGAGAGTAGGAAAGGTCTGTCCTCACCTGAGGCGGAGGGAGAGAGGTCGAGGTGGGCGCTCTTAAGTTTAGAGATGGGGGGCTTCGAGTCTGATGACCTCTTTCCTCTGATTAAGCTGGAAATTAGCATTTTAAGTATCCCACAGTTTAGCCATTTGAAAACATTGTTAGTCAACTCTCCAGATTTTCCTGTTGCTTTCTTAGAAAAAGTATTGATTTCATGCAGAAGAATACTCAGTTGTGGTCAAGGGGACTTGTTTTCCTCCTGCAGATGGAGTTTGGGGTTGTGTACAGCTGCATGGAGGATAAGATGTACACTGGCAGGAAGGGAAAAGGTGCCTTCTGTAACGGGCAAAAACTGCAGGTTTCACGACAAGAAGGTGGGTTTATCCTCTCGTTTTGCTGTGGGTGGTACCACGTACTCCTGTTTTATTGTTTTCGAATGTTGACTTGTGGAGTTCTCCACGTGTCAGCTGACTCATACACTGTATTTGTTTTCTCTGCTTTTTTATTTGGACCGCGGTTTGACTGTGGTGGTGGAAGCAGGGAACACGGCATGCTTGAGTACATAGGCGCTGGCGGGCCTCGCTGGCTGCTGGGGAGGGAAGATGGCCAAGAGCGGCTCCCTGCCTGCGTGGGGCTCAGGGTTCACCGTGTCAGCCAGTGCATCTCAAAGCCTTTGTAGGATACCTCTGATCTGGTGCCATTGGGACCAGTTATTAGGCAGTAAACCTAATATTACTTATTAGGCAGTAAAGAGTTTGTTAGAAATCATGAAAAATGATGGATGCATATGGTGATTGGCATTTTAAGTCTCTGTGTGACAGCTGAGTGAGGTCTGGAGTCACTGTTGTTCTGTAAACCCTGTGCAACCTTCCCACAGTTTACACTTCAGATTCTAAGTGCAGCAAGAACTTAAAGATACTTGCAAAACAATCTAAATTCAGAATCCTCCTACGCTTTTAGAATTTCTCTCCTCAAAAACTTAATTTAAGAGCAGATTTTTATTTCGTTCCCTTTTTATTGAACTCTAAGACCCGAAAGATGGGAAGGTGCATCCTAATTTTCAAGGCGTTAACATGTGAAAAAATGTACATTTTAGAATTGAAGGAATGTGGTAGCTTTCATAGAAACAACTCTTTCCATTTTTATAATTTTTTTTCACTTTTTGTAATATTTAATTAAATTGTGCGATTATTTGAAGAAGTACAGTGGTTGTAAACGTGTTCCGAACGAGCTGGTAAGCATACTTCCCGCTGGTGGGAGGAGATGAGGTGCAGGGAGTGTGAGAGTAGCCGTTAGCTGAGTGTTGAGTGTGTCATGAATTCAGTTGGATGCTTCACAGGGGGAATGGAAAGCACTGGGTAATCTGTTAGACGAGTAAATGGAGGTCAGATAAGAGAGCTGCCACTTAATTTTAACCTTTGTTTTATTTCAAAGCTATATATAAATTATTTATTGAACCTAAGTTCTAAATTCCACTTTTTAAGTATTTAAGGTATTTGCTTATTTCCCATGCATGCAGGCAGACTGGTTATATTCTGCACCTTTTGGGGGATGGCCTAAGAAGCTAGACTGTTTTTGATGATTATAAAACGACCACTTAGAGGTAATAAATTAACAGTACTTTAATATTTAAAGGCTTAGAAAGAAACAACTAGGAAGAGGGATGAAAGTGTCCTATTTTGTTCTGAATTACAAGTGTCAGATTTTTTTCCGGAATTCTTATTATTAAACTGTAGTAATTATTTAAAACATTTGCTTTTAGATATTACCAAGTCACTCTTGGTGACAGAGTTGGGCTCTTCCAGAACACCTGAGACCGTGAGAATTGTTCTTTCTAACATGGAAAAGCTTCTTTGCATCCCCATTCACGGGTAAGCTCTTCTCATTTCCCCCTGAAGTTCCAGATAATTTAATATTTTAAGGAATGGATTTTCCTTTAGAACTGAAATTTTTTATGAATAGACATGGGATCAGTACCATAATTCTGATTTTATAATGTAATTTTAAAAACTTTTCTTTGAAAATAATTTCAAACTTAAAATTTGCAGAAATAAAATAATGCAAAAAAACAGTCTACCCTTTACCCAGATTCACCTGTTGTTAACATTTTACCCCATTTGCTTTATCATTTTAAGCATTCCTTTCGTGTCTGTGTGTGTACATGTAGGTGCACACACACCTTTTTTTCCCTGAACTATTTTAGGGTAAATTACTGACATTGTGGCTCTTTGCTCCTAAATATTTCACTTTGTTATTTCCTAACAATAGGGATATTCTCTTCCCTGACCATAGTATATTACTGAGTTCATAAATTGACTTTGCATCTAATCCAGCATCCACATTCAGTTTTGTCACTTGATCTGACAATGTCCTTTGTAGCATTTTCCTTCCAGTGCAAGATTCAGTCTAGGGTCAGGCATTACATGCAGATGCCAAGTGTCTTTAGCCACCTTTGCTTGGAATATTTCCACAGCCTAAGAAATTACACACTTCCTCTAAATTTTCAAATTATTTGTATAGAGGTACGCAAGGTGGACTCTTATAGTTTATTTCTGGTTTCTCTGTATCAGTAGTTATTTCCTCCTTGTCACTTCTTATTTGTATATTTGTGCTTTTTTCTTTTTCTTTTTTTTTGAGGAAGATTAGCCCTGAGCTAACATCTGCTGCCAATCCTCTTTTTGCTGAGGAAGACTGGCCCTGAGCTAACATCCATGCCCATCTTCCTCTACTTTATGTGTGGGACCCCTTCCACAGCATGGCATGCCAAGCAGTGCCACGTCTACACCTGGGATCCGAAACGGTGAACCCCGGGCCGCTGAAGCAGAATGTGCGCACTTAACTGCTGTGCCACCGGGCCGGCCCCATTTTTCTTTTTTGGAATCTTGATTAAATTACATAGTGATTTGTCTATTTGGTTTTTTTCAGAGACCCAGGCCTTTGATTTATGAATCTGATCTACTATTTTTCTCCTCTCTCTCTCTTATTATTTTCATCCTTGTGCTTTCTTTTGGATCATTTTGTTGTTTTTGTTTTAAGTAGAGAATTTATTTTTATTCTTTGATCTTTTTAGGCTATGAATATTTTTCTGACCACTGCTTTAAATGTATCCCATAGATTCTGATATGTAGTGTTTGCATTGTAATTATTTTTCACAAAATCTGTCATTTCTGTTTGTATTTCCCCTTCCACCCAAGAGTTATATTCTTAAGTTTCCACAAGGAAAATTTTATTTTGTTTTTAATTTGTAGTTCCATTACATCATGATAAATGTACTTTGTGGGACCTACTAATGTTTTCTTTGTGCCCTAGTCCGTGATCAATTTTCGTGAAAGTTCCACATGCACTGAAAAAAAAGTATATTCTGTGTTATCAGGGTGTGATGTTTGATATGGAGCCGGAGCTCTCGCTGATGACGTTATCTTTTTGTCTGCCTGACCCGTCTCACACGGGGAGTCGTATGTCAAAGTCTTCTGTTATTGGTGTGTTTCTCTGTGTTTCTCCTCTAACTCTTGCAGCTTTTATGTAGGTGGAAGCTGTGTTATTTGATGCCTCTTCATAGCTGTTGGCCCTTATCGTGTGACTTTAACATTACAGCCTTTGTCTTGTTCTTGCTTTTGGCCTTGAAGTCTACTTTCACATCAGAATTGCAATCCCTGCTTTCCCGTTGTTTCCAGTTGCCTGGTGAATCTCTGTCCACTCTTGTTTCTAGCCCTCGTGAATCACTGCATTTTAAGTGCATCTCTTGAACGCAGCGTAATGTGGAGTTGTACTTTATAATCAATGTGAAAATGTCTTTCTTTTAATACGAAAGTTAGGCCTGGGGCCTGCCTGGTGGTGCAGTGGTTAAGTTTGCGCGCTCCCCTTCAGTGGCCTGGGGTTCGCTGGGTCAGATCCTGGGATGGACCTGTGTACCGCTTGTCAAGCCATGCTGTGGCAGGTGTCCCACATAGAAAGTCGAGGAAGATGGGCACAGCTGTTAGCTCAGGGCCAATCTTCCTCAAAAAAAAAAGGCCTAGTCCTCTGTTTGCTCTCAATTCTGTCATGTTACTTTACGTTGTAATTACTGTGTGTATCATGTTTAGTTACTGTGTTTTTTTGGTGTGTCCCCTCTTTTTCTTTTTGTATTTATGAAAGGTTAAATTTTTTCTAGTGAGTTTCTTTGGTATTAAAACTTTTTGTAATGCCCTTAATACTTTCTTTTCTTACTTAACTATTTACTATCTTTATAGGTTCTGAATTTTTGGGCCTCCACCTGTCACCTATATAACAGTCAATGATTTTACTCTCCTTTTCCCTTTTTCTCTCCCTTTTCATTCTATTTGCCAAGTTGCATTCTTTCTACTTCATCAGAACATATCATTATTACATAGTCTTCAACCCATGATCCCACCCTTTGGTCTTAGTTTTTCGTTTGACTTTACAAAATGTTCACAGTCATTTTCTAAAGTTTTCCCATCTAATAGTCCAGCCTGATTTGTAGGTGAGTTGACTTGAGATTCAGAGAGGTGAGGTGGCTGTCTGAGATCACACAGCTAGATGGTGGAGAGACTAACACCATGACTTCCAGACCGTTTCTCTTTCTCCTTTATTAGACTTTTGTTTTAGGAGTCATACGCTCAAGGTATAGTTTGGCCATTGTACAAACTATAACCCTAGGCTGTAAATCTCTGATCTGCATAGTACAGAGTAAGTAAAAGAGAAGAGCTGCTGTCCATTAGCTATGGAGCCTCCCAGAATGATGTCCTAAAGGGAAGAACAGGACGATTAAAAAGGCCGGCAGCTACCGTGTCCTGTTTGAAAGCATGGGCTTTAACTTGGGCTATAAAATGATTATGTTGGCCATAAAAGAGCTGCCAGTGCTTTACAGCTTTAACCTTTTATATTTCCATTGACTGAAATAAAAAGTAAACAGCAATCTTTTATTTCAGGAGTTTTTCATAAGTCTAACCAAGGAGAAGTACTGGTTTATTGATTTTGTCCTATGATCTTTTGCATTCAGCTGAGTCTGCAGTATTTCAGTGTGAATTCAGGAGGGTTACGTATACAAAACAAAATGGAACTAAAGAGCGTAATTTAAATGAGTGCCTCAAACAAGTGGAAACAGGCTTACAGCTTCCTAATTAGGAAGTGACACCTGTGAGGCACAGTAAATCATTATGGGGGCATTTAATTTGGGGGGATTCATTTAGATGAAATGCACTGCGTCTGTTTACTTACATGTTTCCTGGCATCGTGATTTGGGGAATAATTTCATCATAAACATAAACTCTTTATTGAGGCCCTTTTCTATGCTAGGCCCTCTGCTGGATGCTTTACATCTGTTGTTTATAATCATTATAGCAGTGGTCCAAGGTAAATTGGTATCCCCATTCTGATGTCAAGAGAGCTAAAACCTGACAAAGAAACTTTTCAGAATTACTGTTTTTAAGCGGCTGAGCAGGGGAGCAAACTCCAGTCTTGGTGATACCAAAGATTGTCCCTTTTACTCTATCCCAGACTAGCTCTGTTGGAGAATTAGACTAAGATAGGGTTCAGAACACATATGAAAATGTAAACCACAGCCTCAATTATTTGGTAATTGAGTGCTCTCTTTGGTAGCATTTGCCCGTAAAAGAATATGCTCTTCGTGACTACAGGAACTCTTGCCCGAGAGCCCGTGATGTTATTAGAAGTAGACAGAAGTCTTGCCACTACCTTTCACTATTGTGCTTCCAGCCCAGGCTTCTATCTCTGAATAGAATACCAAGGGATTATTTGTGAAAGATCTTGGTATTTGCTTTCTGTGATGTGAGATATGAATTGCCACATATCCCATGTGAAAAGGGAGAAAATAATACAATTTGTAAACTAAAAAAGCTACTAAAGTTAATTTGGTTTTGTGTATTTGGAAAGTGGTCAGACGTTGTAGAGATTTGTCGTAGTTGCTAGTTCTTTCTTAAACTCGATATGCACTAAGAAGATAGGCAGTAAAATGTGTTTGAAATCAGAGGCAACATGTAATTCTAATCCTTTTTTTAAAAAAAATTGCTTTGACATATAGGATGTACCCAGGTGCAATATTTTTTCGTTTTTATTTTTTAGGTAGAAAACAAATACCACATTACCTTACCCTGGTACATCCCAAGGAAGAGATGCTATGAGAAGGCAAACATGAAATCTCTTCCCAGGCAGGGCTAGGTCTGAGCAGAGCCGGGCCTGCTGCTGTCCCTGTAGTCAAGTGTACCAATGCTCACTCGATGGGAATGACCATTACCATATTTCCCCTCCTAGAGACTACTTGTATTGTAGGGCTGTGGTCCCTAGACAAATATGAATATACGTGTGCCATTATGGTAGAATTATAGCATTTCCTTCAGTTTTTTCCCCCTGAAAATATCATTGTTTTAATATTTATCTTGTTAAATGATTGCTTTGTGAGGATTAATTTTGTCACTTGTATAGTGCACTATGATAATTAGATTTTATGTATTTTTAAAATTAGATATGACTTTTTTTTTACATTTATCCTCCAGATTGGTTCAAGTTATCTCAATCAACACTTAAACTGAAGTTAAGGAGGAATACCTTCTTTGAAAGAATTATTTTTTCCAGTCTTATTTTTCAATGTCATTTGTTAGGATCCGAGGCGTTGGAACAGCAGCTGTTAACATGTGCCTTGTGGCAGCTGGGGTTGCGGATGCATATTATGAAATGGGGATTCACTGCTGGGATATGGCAGGAGCTGGCATCATTGTTACTGAAGCTGGTGGAGTACTCATGGATGTAACAGGTGAAATTAGGGGACAGTAAAGCATTTTTCTCTTGATTGGACTTTCCTCCATATATGGCTTTTTTTTTAGCGTTTGATGTATGTTATGCTTCAACCCTTAGAGGCAAAATAAGCCATGTAATTTTCTGCAGAATCAAAATAACAAACATTGGGCGATAGAGGGAAGGATAAGATGCTAATCATAGTGTGGGATTAATAATGATACATGGCTCAGCCTTTGCAAGTGTGAGTAGCAGGAGCTCTTGAGAGGCCACAGAAAAAGTCTAGAAGGTCCCTGGATTCGAGGATTGTACTGAGAGCCCTTGGATGGTGACCCTGGTGGTGGCTGACAGTGGACTTCCTGCACCATCACTTTCTGCCCTGGGCCTACAGAGCTTAAATACTTGCTTTGAACTCATGGGGAAATTTTTAAAAGTGAAGGTGAGCCTGGGTTAAAAGAATTCACCAGTGATCTGGGAAAAAACAGCAAAGAAATAAAGAAATGGGAAGGAGAGTGGTATGAAAATGCATTGGAGTCGTTTTTCTTCTCCATTGATTCCCAAACATTAAAAAAGCAATAAGAATAATAAAAAGAAATAAAAAGAAGAAATAGAAGAGAAAAGATGATGTTTTTCAGATTGGTAAGATTGAAGCCCCCCTTCCCTCCAAAACTGGTATTTACTAAAAAAAAAAATGCTTAGGAACTCATGTATGTATTGCCAAAGATTAAACATTATGGTTATGTGACAGAATAGATTTCTTTAAGGATAACTGAAAGTATTAAAATGTTGTGATTGACCATAGTACCTATTAGTATACTAGTTGTCTAGAAATTATTTTTGTACAGGATATAACCCTTTCCCATATTTGATTTGATTTTAGGTGGACCATTTGATTTGATGTCACGAAGAATAATTGCTGCAAGTAGTAAAACTTTAGCAGAAAGGATAGCCAAAGAAATTCAGATATTGCCTTTTCAAAGAGACGATGAAGATTAATTATGACAGCCTCATATGATCAAACACGGTTGCGTCTCCCCAGATTTGCTGACGCACTGAAGGTGTTAGAAAATTTAGGACACCTGTTTCAGATATATAATATAATGGGCTTAAATTGTTGTCAATGTCCAGACTAAAAAATTGCAACTTGTTTCATATTTTGCTAAGACAGTATGAAAGAGTAGATGAAATGTTTGTTTTATTGTTTTAAAAGATTTTGCATGTAAGAAAATCCTTCAGGAAAAATACACAGGCAGTTGATGAGATAGTTACCATATCAACTGAGATAGCTAGCAACGTAGTTTTTAGGTATATCTGAGCTTCTGAAATTTTGACTTGCTATTTATACACATAACATTCTTAATTTAGAAAGTTAACTTTTTGGAACAAATTTTCTCTTGAGTTCCAAGAGCCATGTTGAATTAAGCTTGTAAGAGTAGAACGAGTGTTTCCCAGACCGAGGTTTCTTTCTCTGCAGAGAACCTTGCTGTACTCGTCAGTGCGCGTGTGGCACTTAGCACAGTCCTTGTCCCACGAAGGCAGTCCAGAAACAAGCACTGAAAGAGTGACTGGTTCACAGGTCGCAGTTCCTAGTTAGAACAGATAAATAAGTCGTGAGCGCACTGTTCTCTGTTTTTACTTCAGGTTTTGAAGTAAAAATCATCTCATCCTTTTCATATTTCACATTACCATTCCTTTTAACATTTCATATTGCTGTGCCATTTCAGTTACTGTAATGCCAGATATCATTCCTAATGGTGGACATTTCTGCAGTTGATATACTTTTCAAAACACTGCATTACAGTCTTTGGATTCCTTTGAAGTCCCTCTGTAAAAGCGAGGAAACTGGTTCCAAAAAGCATCCTTATCAGGTGTCTGACATAATTAGAAGCAGTATAACATTTTACTGAATTCAATATTTATTATTTCACAGATGTGCAGGCTGATGTGGTTGTCACAGGAAACCCACAACCTGCACGTATACTGTACTGTTAATATTGAACTGTTTGTTCTTCCCAGACTCCTCATTTAACTGTGTTGCCACTGGATTCTATTCAGCCTTTAAATATTCCTTAATAGTCTTTGGCTTATCGAACTCAAAAAGAAAATTGTCCTGGTTCATAGATATTTTTAAAAGATTAATTTATTGCTTAGCCTTGTTGCCTGCCAGTGAACAGACTGTTAGGTGTTGTCCTAGGCTCATGTGAGCCTTGTATCTGATAAAATGAAGTGCATCTATCAAGACCTCAGGGTCTGGCGTTATTTTATTGTTGTGCACATCCAATACATTGAATATATGTGATGCTAAGATTTGAGGAGTATAATTACTGTATTTGCACTGTTGGTCATGTGCTGTAAAAGCATCTCATACTGTTTTAAGACAGGTTGTTTTTGCAATTAAATTTATTTTAATTAAGATTATCATGAATAAAATTTTAAATAAAGTATAATTGATATTTCTGTAATTAAGGTTTATAGTTTAAACTGCTTTTAGGGATTTTGTGTTGAGGTATAAATATTTGACACTTGCACTTGTAATTGAATATATGTTCTTGTTTTTTGCCTAGAGTTTTCCCAACTTTTCTAAAAACTTAGAATAATTTTTCAGTAGATAGCTTTTTTCATTTTTTTATTCTAAATGCAATTAGATATATTGTAGCGAAAACCTCTTTAGCCATTGAAAAAGGATGATTGACAAGTGAAGTATCCAGCAACAATTTGAAATTAATCTTTTTTCGAGTGACAGGATGTCTCAGACTTAATGTGTATAATATGTGTTATTGGCAGGGTATATATAATCTTTCTGTGTGTGTATACGCACACACACTCATACATGCATAAAATATACACACTTGAACACCCTTCCCCCTTTTTTAAACAAAAATGAGCTCATTCTATCATGTACTTATCTGTGAAGCGTTCTTTGGCTTCCATTTGAATCACCGGTGTCCCTGGCTGCGGTTCAGTGTCAGGGTCAGTAGTTTGCCTGTCATATGTATCGTTTTGACTCAGTTGTCCTTCGTCTCAAGATCTCGTCTAGAGCCTAAGATACTATATTTAAAGAAAAGAATAATCATTTCAGACCGTTTCTATTTGCTTCAAGTTCGTGGACCCCTGTTTTTTACCCTACCCTGTTTTATAAATATAAATACTTTTTATTGTTATGTAATTAATACATGTACGTAGTTAAAAATTTCAAGTAATATGCAAAGCTCAGAATGCTCAGAATGGAAAGCAGCATTTTCCTATGCCATTCCACCCCACACGAGTCCATCTCCGCAAACTGTTCTAGGAGTTTCTGCTGGTATTTCTCTCCATATTTTAAAAAATAGATATATTCTGCTACAGCTTCATTTATTGGCTTTATTCATTATCTATTAACTTGTTTATTACGGAAGATGAGAGTTTTGTACTCTCACCTCACCCTGTGAGTTACCTTTACCTCCTCCTTTCTGTCCTCCTAGTATAGTAATGTTTCTTTGCTGTTAAATTTATACTCAGTCGTTTTTTTGTCTTGGATTTTTTGGTGAGGAAGATTGACCCTGAGGTCACATCCATTGCCAGTCTTCCTCTTTTTGCTGAGGAGGATCGTCGCTGAGCTGTCTGTGCCAGTCTTCCTGTGTTTTGTGTGTGGGACACCATCACAGCATGGCTTGACGAGCAGTGTGTGGGTCCGCAACTGGGGTCTGAAACCATGAACCCCGGGCCGCCAAAGTGGAGCACGCGAACTTAACCACTATGCCAGCCCGGTTTCTGTTTAATGTACCACTTTTATTCACTGGTTAGCTAACTAGTAGTGTGTTATGATTACATTTTTTTTTCCTGTGCAACTTTTTGTTTTTCCTGAAGTTAACGCATTTTCCACAGGATTGTAAAACCTCTTTATTTTCCATTTGTTCAACTACAGTCGGGTTTTATGTTCTATTTTTGTTGCCTCCTGAAGATACATCTTTGGGGCCCTATCCTTTTCTTCCAGGCTGGCTGGTTACTGGCTGGGTGTGCAGTATCTCTGTCCTTCCGGGGCTTCCATCTGCTTCTCTTGGTCCCATCGTTTGTGTCCTGGAGCTTTTGTGTCTTATTCTCTCATTTTGGTGAGCCCCTCTTCTAGGGGCGTTCCGTGAAAAGGTCCTTGGGAGGTGACATTTTGCGATCTCCCATGTCAGAAAGCATCTGTTGCCTCCTGTTTCACTGATGGTTTGGCTGAGTTTCCCATTCTAGGTTCAAACCAACTTTCCCCTCGGAATTCTTACAGCATCTCTTAGTTTTCAGTGTTGCTGAGGAGAAGTCACTCCAATTGTCAGTCCATTGACAATTCTTTTCTCTGCAAGAGGTTGGGGTTTTCTCGTTATTTCTGGAGTTTTCTAATTTCCCTCTGATAATCTTTGATGTGTCTTTTTTTTCGTTCATTGTGGTAATTATTCATGTCCTTCATCTTGGAATGTTCTCCAGTTCTTCAGTGTTTTGTTTCCTTCATAATTTCCTCCCATTTCCTCGCTTCCTCCTCCTCCTTTCTCTCTTTCTGGAATATCTATTATTCAAATGTTGGACCTCAGACATTTATCCTCCTATTTTCTCTGTTTTACGTCTTTTTGCTTTGGGGGTTCTGAGGGATTTCCTTAACTATCTTCCAACCCTTCTGTTAACCTTTTTTTTTGCTGTCATTTTTAATTTCCAAAAGATTTTATGTATTCTCTGGTCCTTTTGTTTTTAAGGACCCTGTTCTTGGTTCATTGATTCAGTATGTTATCTTTCTCGGGGTATTCTTTTTAATATTTTTTAATGTTGTTCCATCCCTTTATTCGACCCTCTGCGTTGTCCCTTTCTTTCAAGTTCTTCAGTTTTCAGTTTTTTTGATTTGGTCTCTCTTTCATTTTCAGGGATTCTCAATTATCTGATAATCCTTTGTTAGGAAAATATAACATTAAAATTTGTGGGATGCAGGTTAAGCGTTACTTATAGGCAAATCTATAGTCTTAAGTGCAAGGCAAGGAAAGAGTGTAAGGATTGACTGGGAGAAATAAAATGAATTCACAGTCTATGTGATTGTCCACTTAGAAAATGCAAAAGGATCCACAGACAAACCAGTCCTTTTAGTGGCTTTAGTGATGTCACTGGAGGTGAGGTCGATGTACAAAACTCAACTGTATTTGTGTGAGCTAGCAACACATGAGATAGTGTTTAATGAAGATACCATTTACAGTATAAAAAAAGCCATTAGATGCCTAGGAATTAGTTTAATGAAAGATGTGCAAGAGCTCTACCCAGAAAGACTGCAAAACATTCCTGAAAATTTTTAAAGATCTCTATAAGAGTAATATACCATGTTTATGATTTAAAACAATGTTGTTCAACTGTCAATTCTTGTCAAATTGATACAGATCCAAGCAGTCCCGATCAAGGTGCCAATGTTTTGGGTGAGGAGGTAAGGTGGGGGATTAGCAACTTTTATGGGAACGTAGAGAGCCAAAAATAGCAAAGAACATCTTAAAGCAAAAGAGCAAAGTTAGAAGACTGCACCACCAGATAGCAAGCCTTGTTACAGAGCTCCTGCAATTGAAAGAGTGATGCTAGCACAAGGACGGACAAAGAGATCCATGGAATACTGTCCAGAAATAGACTCGAGCACATAGAAATGTGTTGTTCATGACAAAGGTGTCACTGCAATGCAATAAAGAAAGGGTGGTCTTTTCAATAAATGTGGAATCAATTGGATATCCACATTATAGGGGAGAAAGAAGGAATCTTGATCCATCACACCATGCACAAACATTAATTCCAGATGGATGTTTAGGTTTCTAAATATGAAAGGTAAAACTAAGCTTCTAGAAGACAGCATGGGAGAATCTTCCTGATCTTGCTAGACAAAGACTTAGTAAATAAGAGATGCAAAAAAGCACTACCTGTAAAGGAAGATTGATTAATTGGGCTGCATTAATATTAGGAACTTCTATCATCAAAATACACCAGTAGGAGAGTCAGAGGACAATCCACAGAGTTTGTAATACATGCATCTGACAAAGTATATCCTGAGTACATAAATAACTTCTACATATCAGTAAAAAAAGATAATCCAGTTACAAAAGGACAACTTGAACACAAGCTCCACAAAAGAATATATCCAAACTAAAAGTGCTCAATATCGTGTTATCCAAGGAATGCAAATTAAACAATGTTTAGCTTATTAGACATGTTTAATTTATTAGTAACTTATTAATTTATTAACCCTAGATACACAAAAAATGGCTAAAACAAAACAAAAATCCAGCAACAACAAAAGAAACCAAATGAACTCCGGATGATGCCAAGTGCTGTAAGTCTGTGAAGCACCTGGCCGCATTTATCACTTAATGCTTCTGCTCTTTTGGAAATTGCCAGTGATGTCCTAATTTACACGGGCCAAATGTCGTCTGCCTTTAACTTGATCTCTGCAGTTCTTTCCCTCACCTGTTCTCTGTTTGTAAAATCACACTTTTAAATTTCTCCTCTTGGTCCACTTCTTAGGCTCCTTTGCCAACTTTTCTTTCTCTGGTAATGCCCTGTCCTACAGGTGCCATCCTTAGTCCTCTCTTCTGTCCAGTCGCTCAGGAAACTCCTGCCTTCCCGTGGCTTCATCTATCACATCCATTCTCCTGACTCCCAAATCTTCACGTAGGCCCATATTTCCTGTCTGAGTTCTGCTACGACCGTAAACCATGCGGGCGGAAGGAGTATGATCTGACAAGGCTCCGAGGAGTGCAGGGAAGAGCAAGTGTTTGGCTGAAGTCTACAATGGGTATGTTAGGTGGGACCATCGTGTGGAAAACTTGGTCAAGACAAATTGGAGATGGGGTCTGGGGGGAAGGGAACTTCAAATGTAACAGGTCCTGATTTGAGAGGGGGTGGAGAGGGATGCATACAGGAGAGTGGCAAAAAAGTTTCTGGGCAAAAAATTGGTTTGGTTAGAGACATGTCGAGCTGATAAAAACAGAGGGCTTCCCAGAAGTAACCGATTTCTCTCAAGTAGCCAACTCACCCAGCCACTCACTCCCCGACCCCCACAATCCTCAGAGGGGTTGTAGTAGAATTCGATGTGTTAAAATTGAAACGTTGCTTTGAGTCATCCGTTTGTCACCTGGTGAGCCTGATTTGAAAATTATCGTCCCAGCCTTTTTATTTCCACGGATTAACACTAGGTGGCAAACTACACATAGGGAATTATCTTATGTTAAGCATTTTGACTTCTGAAACATTTTCTTTTCCCTCCAAATAACCTCATTAGCCAATATTTGTTTAATAATTATTGAGTATTATTAATATTAAGTATTAATATTTAATAAGTATTAAGACATGGGTACTTTTTCATAAATTGAATTAGTCTATATTGTGGGTCAACTCTTACTCCCTTCAGCAGAGCCGTAGATACCTAGTATATATTATGGCCTGGATTTTAGTCATCCGCCAGTTTTAGGTTTAAAAAGAGGTTCTTTAATTATAAACATAAATAAAATGAAATGTTTTTCTTTTGTTATCATACTTGAGAACACCTCTACCAGTAAATTTCAACGTCCCTGTCAGTTGACCCACTAATGGAAAATGATTACAAATGTCCTGCTTGCCCTCCTTAGGGAGCTCGTCCATCCATCTCCAGCCCTTGGACAGTATTATCTGCCCACTTTTCCTGTTCCTTAGAAACAGCATTGGCCTGGATGCTGGAGATACAGAGGTGGGTCGGATATGTGAGGAGCAACATAAGAGAAGTATGTTAATGCGGTCATTGATTCAGGACCTAACAAGCGGCAAAGGATCTTCACATTCCTGACCTCCAAGTGGCAGCAATGGGTCCAGCCCCCTCTAAGGTGACATACCCAGGGCAGCCAGGACAGGGTACTCTGGAGCTGCTTGGGTTTTTCCAGGAAGCACTGGGGTTCTCCATTCTAAATTTCCTTCACTACTTTAGGGTTTCAAGTGTTAAACAATTATTTGACCTTGCACATGATGAAAGATGACTGGAGAGATTTAGAGGCTCAAGGAATCTTTCTAAATGCCGATACATGATCACCAGCCTAATGGCTCCCCAGTTGTCTTGGGATACAGTCTAAATTCCTTACTGTGGATTAGAAGACCATTGAAGAGCTTGCCCCCTCTCCGTCTTTCTCAACCGTATCACCCTCAGTTTCACGTACACCATGTAGAGGTCAGATTGAATTTCTCTCAGCTTCAGCAACATACCTTCTTCTGTCTCATGAATGTTCACAAGATGGGAAGTTTTTTGTTAACATTCTCTCTCACCTCCCATTTGGAACCCCATCTCAATCCATGCTTAACCCACCTTCACTTGTTTAACTTCTACGTACATTTTAGGTTTTAGCTTCCATGTGACTTCCTCCAAGAAGCCTTCCCTGACCACCCAAGTATGGTTTTGTATCCTCTCTGGAGTGTTCTACATTTCCTCGTTCAGACTACTTACCACACCATGTTATAATCACCTCTTTTCTTGCCTGTAAAGATGAGACTGCAAACACCGTGGAGGCAGGCTTGCTTATTCTTGTATTCTCACTCTCTGGCTCAGGGCTTGGCAAATATCAAGTCCTCTACAGACGTTTATTGAATAAGTGAGTGAGGCCTCAATATCTCATAGCATCCCTTTTATGCCATTTTGTACCAAGGTTTGAGAGCAGTAACTTTATGCACACCTGCAGATAATAAATTGTCTAAAACCAGCACAAATTGTCCCTTTCCTAGAAAACCGAAAGACCATCTTATCTAGTTCTCGATTGATTTAGGAAACAAAATATCCATGAAGCTCCAAAGTCTTGTGGATTCACTGTAGATTCAAGGTGACAAGATGTGAGATGTGAAAAATCTAATGAAGTTCGTCTCTTTTACTACAAAATTGAAATGAACGAAACTTTACACGATCAGGCAGAGTTCGTGTGTATTGTGACCTTTACGACATTGAGAAATTTGGACGATTTGGGTCCACGAGAACAGGTTTAGGTCTTCCCAAAGAGCAGTTCCATAAGGATGAGCTCTTAATTTTTCTTAATTTTTGGCTCCGTGTAAAGATAACGGGCTTCAGTAGATAGAAAATCCTTTTTAGTTCCTATCTTGGGTCGAGCTGAACTAGCAAAAATCAGATTCCTGGATAACATTGTTATGTTTTTTGTCCTCTCTTTACCAAATCCCAACATAATTACTTTCACATAACTATGTGAAAGCCTATTTTAAAGTTATAAGCAATGGCCCATGAACCTCTGAGACTCATCTTGAATGTCTGTAAGAATGTTTTGTATTTCACAAGATTCTCTTTGTCATTCTCTAGAATAAATTCCTCTATGATCTTAATATCAAAAGTAATTGTTCTTGTCTTGAGAATTTGGTTGGTTTTTATCTGAGAGATCAATGGGAATGTGTTAAAATTACAAATTCTAGGATCTCAGCCCAGATCTACAGAATTTGAAATTCAGTGAGGCCTGAGTGATTCTACTTTTTATAAGCTCTTCAGATGACTCAGATGCAAATAAAAGATTGGGAATCCCTCTGATAGACGAGAATTATATAAGTGACTAGATTTCTCTTCAAATTCAGCCACTGGATAGATTAGAGGCAGATTTATGGTTCACCGGTAGCACGTTGTATAAGATCATCATGTTATGACTTTTAATTCTTTTCCTGTCTCCCCACGTTTTCATCTTTGGTTTATTTTTATTTCTTTTTTCACCCCACTTCTAATTTAAATTCTTGTCATATGACATATCCACATAAGCCATCTTAAATCTTTTTGGAACATAACAAGAAACAAACAGCTAGATAGCCAGACAAATACATAAATAATTATTGCACTCAGCTTCTGTAGAGAAAAAGTATTCTTGGCAATTGGTGCAGAGTAAGCACTTTTGGCTGACCTAAAGAACGCCCTGTGTGTGTGGGTGTGTGAGTGTGTGTGGGCGTGCATGCTGGAGGAAAGGGGAGAGGAGGTCATGCATGCGGATTAGGAAACTATTGTACTTCTGTTTATCAGTGAAAGATTTTTTAATTTTTCTGTCAAAAAGCAATTGTATTTAGTTGTTGCTCTTCATTAAATTCACGGTTTATGTACCAGCCAGAAAACTCATGTCTGAAACAGTGACGTGGATGTTTTGATGGCACTGCCCTTTCCCCTCCATTGTGCCCTTTCTTACTTGGCCCCAAACCTTTCCACCTTAATCCTTGTCTTGTCTTTGGTTCCTTGCAAGCTAATCCCCATGAAGGCATTAATTTATAGGAGCTTTACAGAGTGATTCTCAGAATTACTGGGAGTGAAGAAGGCCCCTAGATTGTCTTGATACGTTTCAGTAAGAGGAAATGTAATCTCTGCTCTTCTATCAGTAGTACAACCACCATGCTTTTCAAAATCACTATAAATGGCGTTAAGCCTGGGAATTATACCACACGGGTAACTGTATGGTTTATGTATCTGAATGACGGGTCAGGTGTCTGTGGCTGGGAGAACCAGATTTTCTTCTCTTGTTTTACTCTCTTCAGTCATTCCCAGGAGGAAGCTCCAGTGAGACCACGGTTTGAGACATGTCAGCTAAATGACCTCAGGGAGTCATTACGGGCATGCAGCCTGACACCAGCTCTCTGTCCTAGAAACCAGGCTTGAGGCTCTTGGGCTTCACTGCAGTTGCTGGATTTTCGCTTTTTGGATATCTACTTGTCACCTGGCTCCGTCTGTTCTAAAATATAAGTGACAGCTCAGCTTCAACATAGCAAGATCAACTTTATAATAATTGGGTAAGAATTGGGTCATTTTGGTTCAGCTGAAAACCCTAGCATCTGATAAATCTCTTGGGGAGGGGGGAATTTCTCCTTCTACTCCTCTTGAGTTCTAATGGCTGGACTAATAATAAAATTGGCACAAGACCACATTAATATGAGAAAAACCAATTTAATACATATATATTGGAGATCGTAAAAAAAGATACTCTCCAAGATGGGCAAAGCAGGCTGCTTTTATTTAAATGTTTTACACAAAGAAACAATAAACTTGTGAGGAATTGACAGGACAAAGAAACTTGGGTTTGGTGCTGGCCTGGTGGCGCAGTGGTGAAGTTCGCATGTTCCACTTCTCAGAGGCCCAGGGCTTGCCGGTTTGGATCCCAGGTGCAGACATGGGACTGGTTGGCAAGCCATGCTGTGGTAGGCGTCCCACATATAAAGTAGAGGAAGATGGGCATGGATATTAGCTCAGGGCCAGTCTTCCTCAGCAAAAAAAGGATTGGTAGCAGTTAGTTAGCTAAGGGCTAATCTTCCTCAAAAAAAAAAAAAATAAGAAACTTGGATTTGGGGTATGTAATTAGTGAGGAATTTGAGCAGAGTTTAGGCTTAACGTAGTAAGTTAGTAAAAGCAACAAGGTTTATTTATATAGGCTTCTTGGCCCTGAATTTCCTGGCTCTGGTGATAAGGATGTCTCTATCTCCTGGTGTGGGGAGGGTACCTTTCACATGAAAGATTTATTTCCTGCTTTCAGGGGGAAGAGACAGAAGATGGTCAAAATGTTACTAAGTCAAAACAAGTAACATTAATTCAAAATAATCAATATGCCAATGCAGGATATTTTGGGGTAGCCTGCCCTGGGCACCAACAAATCTAATTGGAAAATGTTATTCAGTGCTCTGTAGGTTAACACAGTGCTTGTCAAACTGCTACTAAATTTTGAGATAAGTATTAAGCAAAGGAATCCACCTAAAGACAAGGGTCTTCAGTTCATCCAACACTCTGAGCACCTATTTTGTGTAAGATATGGGCCAGGCATTGCAGGGACCTGGAGATGGGAAGACTGATAATTATGGTTAATAATGAGAGCCAGGATCTAGTGAGCACCTGGTAGTCAATATACGTAACTTAATTTAATTTAATTTGAAAAAGTTGAGCATAGCTCACTTCTTACAGATAAGAGAACTATGTCCAGAATGGATAAGGAGCTTGCCCAAGCCCGTGTAGATAGATTTAGAGTTAGGATCCAAAGCTGCTGCTTTTTCCTAGCTACCATGCCACTTCCAGCATGGGATGTGGGTGTGTGTGTGTGTGTGTGTGTGTGTGTGCTCGCGGGGAGTAAGACTCATAAATCAATAACAGACACACCTTGGAGAGATTGCAGGTTTGGTTCCAGACCACTACAATAAAGGAATATCCCAATAAAGCAAGCCACATGAACTTTTTGGTTTCCCAATGCATATGAAAGTTATGTTTAGGGTAACGTCAGCAACATGGTGGAGTGAGCTGCGCCCTTTATCTCTCCCTCTTTGAACTACAACTAAATGGACATTCACTGACCAATAGGAAGCCCACACAGCACAATGGCACACCTGAGAGACCCACACAGCTATACATCTGAAGGTGGAAGGACTGGGCCTCCAGGAAGTAGTGGAGATTGGTGAACACTCCCCAACCCTTTCCTGGCAGCTCAGTGCGTGTGTGCCAACACTTTCCTGGCCAAACACCCACAGTGCTGCTGTGGTCCTGCAAGTGGGAACGTGTCTCAGCATGACTGTAAGAAGAGGCAGAGGCAGCCCTGAGCCCGTGTACAAATGCTTTCCTGGCCAGCTGGAGAGCCCACCATGCCACTGTGGTACCAGTGGCCCAGGTCTACGTACATGTGTTAATGCTTTCTCAGCTGGCAGGACTGAGTACAGTACTGCTGTGGCCCCACAGGTGGGAACGTGCCTTGACGCAACTGTATGAAGAGGCAATGGCTGCCCTGAGCCCACCTGAGAACACTTTTCCAGCTGGTGGGAGCCCCCACCAGACCACCATAACATCCAGCAGATGGGGTGGGATCAGAAACACAGCTCCTGCTTCCCCCCAGTGGTGGAAGGTGGAATCCATGGCCTGATACTACCACAAAAGTGCTGGCAAAGGGTTAGTTCATCAAACACTGGTGAAAAACTACAGCAACAATTCAGAACAGAAGGAAAATGACAAGTCTCCAGAATCCAACCCTGAAGTCACAGAAATTTACAGTCTAAATGGCAGAGAATTCCAAATAGCTGTCATAAAGAAACTCAATGAGTTACAAGAAAGCTGAGAAAGACAATTCAATGAGCTCAAGAATAAAATACTGGGTAGAAAGAACACTTCACCAAAGAGATTGAAACTATATGAAAAAAAACAAGCAGAAATTCTGGATATGAAGAACACAATTAATGAGATAAAAGTCTAGAATCCTTTAAAAATAGAGCTGATATGGAGGCGAGAATTAGTGATTTACATGATAGAAATATAGAAATGTTTCAGGTGGAGGAGGAGAAAGAAGTAAGATTCTAAAAAAATGAAAAAAAATTCTTCAAGAAATATCCAACTTAATTAGAAAAAGCAACTTAAAGATTATAGGTATTCCAGGAGGAAAAAGGAGCAGAGAGCTTGTTCAAAGAAATGTTAACTGAGAGCTACCCAAACCTGAGGAAAGAACTGGACTTACAAATATATGAAACCAATAGAACTCCTAATGACATCAATGCTAAAAGACCTTCCCCAAGGCATATAATAGCAAAACTGGCAAAAGTCAATGGCAAAGAAAAAATATTAAGGGCAGCAAGGCAGAAGAAAATAACCTACAAAGGAACTCCTATCCGGCTTTCAGCGGATTTCTCAGGAGAAGCCTTACAGGCTAGGAGAGAATAGAATGATGTATTCAAAATACTGAAAGACAAAAACTTTCAGCCAAGAATACTCTATCTAGCAAAACTATCCTTCAGGTATGATGGAGAAATAAAAGCTTTTCCAGATAAACAAAAGTTGAAGGAGTTCATTGCCACTAGACCTCCCCTACCAGAAAGTATCAAGGATGATATCATACCTGAAACAAAAGGCAAAGGTCTACAACACTTTGAGCAAGAAGATAAATAGACAAAATCAGAAAACTGCAGCTTTCTTTCTGAACAGGGTAGCAAATACTTAATTATAACTTAGAAGATAAAGGGAAGGAAAGCATCAAAAGTAACTATAAACACTTCAATTTAGTTGCAAACTCACAAGATAAAACAGAATAATTTGTGACAACAATAACTCAGAGGAGAAGAGGGAAAGGGTGGAACCTACTTAGGCTAATGGAGATAAAAGGCTATCAGAAAATGGACTACCTCATTTACAAGATCTTTTACATAAACCTCACAGTAACCACTAAATAAAAAATCAGAGCAGAGACACAATTCATAAAAAAAAGAGAAAACTGAGAAAACCACCACAGAAAACCACCAAAATGAAATGGCAGTCAGAAATACAAGGGATGAGAAACAATGGAAATATAGAACAGCCAGAAAATATGAGATAAAATGGCAGTATTAAGCCCTCATATATCGATAATTACTCTAAATGTAGATGAGTTGAATTCTCAAAGTGAAAGACGCAGTGTAGCTGGATGGATTAAAAAACAAGACCCAACAATATGCTGGCTCCAGGAAACACATCTCAGCTCTAAAGACAAACATAGGCTCAGAGTGAAGGGATGAAAGATGATACTCCAAGCTAATGGCAAACAAAAGAAAGCAGGTGTTGCCATACTTATATCAGACAAAGCAGACTGCAAGATAAAAAAAAAAAAAAAGACAAAGAAAGACAAAGAGGGTCAGTATAAATGATAAAAAGGATTTTCCATTGAGAGGACATAACACTTATGAATATATACGTACCCAACACATGAGCACCAAAGTGTATAAAGCAACTATTAACATTCCTAAAGGGAGAAACTAACAGCAACTCAATAATAGTAGGGGACCTCAACACCCCACTTACATCAATGGATAGATCACCCAGACAGAAAGTCAACAAGGAAATAGTGGATTTAAATGAAGCAGTTGATCAGATAGACTTAAGAGATATATAGAGAGCAGAATACACATTCTTCTCAAGTGCACATGGAACATTCTCAAAGAAATACCATATATTGGCAAACAAGGAAAGCCTCAATAAGTTTAAGAAGATTGAAATCATATCAAACATCTTTTCTGACCACAATGCTATGAAACTAGAAATCAACTACCAGAAAAAAGCTGAGAATGTCACAGTTATGTGGAGACTAAACAACGTACTACTGAACAACCATTGGACCAATGAAAAAATCAAAGGAGAAATTAAAAAATACCTGGAGACAAATAAAAATGACAATACAACATACCAACTCTTATGGGATGCAGCAAAAGCAGTTATAAGAGGGAAACTCATAGAAATACAGGCCCACCTCAACAAACAAGAAAAATCTCAAATAAGTAATCCTAAACTGCGCGTAACATAACTAGAAGAAGAACAAACAAAGCCCAAAGTCGACAGAAGGAGGGAAATAATAAAAATTAGAGCAGAAAAAAATGAAATAGAGACAAAAAAAAAAAAACAGTAGAAAGGATCAAGGAAACTAAGAGCTGGTTCGTTTTTTTTTTTTTAAAGATTGGCACCTGAGCTGACATTGGTTGCCAATCTTCTTTTTCTTCTTCTTCTTCTCCCCAAAGTCCCTTGGTATACAGTTGTATGTTCCAGTTGTGCATGCCTCTGCTTGTACTCTGTGGGATGCCACCTCAGCATGGCCTAATGAGTGGTGCCATGTCTGCGCCCAGGATCCAAAGCAGCGAAACTCTGGGCTGCCACAGTGGAGTGCATAAACTCAACCACTCGGCCATGGGGCCAGTCCCAGAGCTGGTTCTTTGAGAGGAGAAACAAAATTGAAAAACCCTTAGCCAGACTCACTACAAACAAAAGAGAGAAGGCTCAGGAAAATAAAATTAGAAATGAAAGAGAAGAA